TTTCTTCGGGAAGAATATAAAGCACATCCCAGCCTTCATGTCATTTTACCATGAGACACTTCAGTATGCATCTTCAACCGATAAGCATTTTTAAAACATGAGCACCATGGCATTCTTAGCTGATTTCTTGATGAGATCAAGCAGAATGGAGTGATAATCAGTCGTGGAATGCTTCTGCCAAAAATGAGCATTTTTATGCAAAAATATTAAATTTAGTTCAATTCAGCAAGTGTGGTAATATCTTTTATGTACCAGGCCCCACATGTACAGCACGCATGGATGAGTTGGGCAGGTAGTGCCTGACCCCGTGAAGAAGGTCCCCAAGACACACAGCCAGAGTTCAAGGCTGTGTTCAGATAAGCTTCTCAGGGAGCTAGGAGCCTGGCGGGGGTTGGGGGGGGCAGTCTCTGAACGTTTGCTGAATATGAAGGAGAGGTGTGAGGCAGGCCAGGCAAGTGCAGGAGTGCATTCGCTATGAAGCAGGAGAGGCTACATAGACCAGGTGTGTGCGTGATGGGCCTTGAAGAGCAGGCACCATCTCTGCACGCAAAACAGAGAAGGAAAATTTCCATCCGTGCACCCAGAGGGAGAGAAGTGAGAGCCCGTCTCTGCTGCTGTCCTGACACAGTGGCCTCGTACCTTCTCTAGGGGTGAGTGCAGGTCTCATTTGACCTACGAGGCTGGCAAACAGTTCAAATGACCTTGGAACAGCCTCTAAGTCCCTAGGATCTGCCCCTTTGTAAGCTCAGAAGCCAAGAGTCCGCTTGTTTTTGTTGGTCTGTGCATTAGGCCCCCTTCGGGGGGCCTGAGCCTGGGTTTCAGCAGAGAGCCAGGAGACCAGCAGCCCGCAAAGCAATCTCTCTCCTGGAACTGGATGCCTCGCCCTGCATTCCCCATCTCTGCCCCTGGGCATGCAGGGGTGGAGCAGATCCCTTTGGGGTGGGGGGTGGCGGAGAATGGGAGGAACAGCTCGGTCATTCATTCAGCTCTTTGCTGGGCAGGTGTCCCAGGGGCTAGGCGGGGGGACAGCGAGAAGGGAGGCAGGAAACCTGGAAGCAGAGGAGGTGACTAGGGAACGCTGAGAGGTGTCACCGAACAGAATCTAGAACTTACTCAAGAGGGCAGTGGGCCGTGGGGCTGGACCAGCGGGCGAGGCTCGCACTGCGGAGGGCCTCGCTTGCCAGGCCGGGCGGGTGCTCTTCCTCCCCAGGGGAGAGGAAGAGCCACCCACGGGAGGTCTGCCAGAGGATGACCCCGAGCTCTGCCCTGCAGGCAGCACATTGGGAGGTTATCACCATAGTCCTGGCTGGAGATGGAGGGCCGGGATGAGGCTGGGGTTCATGCGGTTTTCACCTTTATTCCCAAATACAGGGTCCGGCAGAAGTAACGCCTGCGTGGGTGTGGTTGGTAGGGTAATAATGCAGGTGTGATAATTCATAGTTTCAATTTGAACATTTCACCAAAATGTCACATGGTGTGCTTGAGTGTGATGTTGTTATGTTACAGAACAGCATGCTTGTGATTTTGTATTAAAGGGGGGCGTTATTTGTGCCAGACCCCATATGTGTAGAGCACCTACTGTGTGTGAGGCCTGAGGAGGCGGAACGTGTGAGGCGTTGGATCTCCGAGTGGAGTCGGAGCTGGCACGCGTTGCCCCGGGGCTGACCGGGACAGTGCGTGTGGGAGCGTGGTCGCAGGAACCACGATCGGAAGTTAGGAGGAGGAGCTGGCTGTGTGTCTGGAGTGGGGCTTAGCTGTGTGTGTGTGTGTGAATGTGTATATGCACATGTGCACGAATGTGGAGGTGTGTGAATGCGTATGCCTGTGTGTGGATGTGGTTTGTGTGTGTGAATGTGTGTGTTTTGGTAGAGGCAGGTGGGGAGTGACGTGAACTATGGGGTGAACGTGAGATGCTTGAACGCCCTGAAGACACCAGCTCAGGAGGCCCGGGCCCGGCTCTGTGCCTGGTCTGCGTCTGGGGCCTGAGGAATAGGGGGGCCGGGCAGGGCAGCAGCCAGGTTCCAGTCCTGGGGGCTGAGCCTTGGCGTGTGGCTGGGCAGGGCGAGGGGGCGAGGCTGGGAGCCGCTGGCCGGTTGGTGCTGGGACCAGTTGGACCACCTTTGCCGCGTGTCCTGTGGTCAGACCGCTCACAGACCTGCTGGGTCACTGCTGTCCGTCATCTTTCACGGCGCCTTTAACAGCCTTTGTTTTCAAGATGCCACTTTGGAAGAAGATGCTCCGGGGGTGGGAGTGAACCCTGAAGGGCTGAGGGTTTATTATGGACGAGCCGGTCATCCGTGAGGAGGCAGAGGGAAGTCCCCACAGGTTGCCTCGTGGAGTTTGGGGTTGCGCTGGTCAGCTGGGCTGCGGTGGGGGCTTGGCAGTACCGTGCTGGCTGTGGCGTTCAGTGCCTCTCAGAGTCGTTGTGCCAGTCAGTGGTACTTGGGACGTTCGGAGTTTAGGGGACAGGAAGTGTGAGTCATCTGAGAGATGCACTGGGAAGGTGGTGGGGAGGACGCAGCCCTGGGTTCAAATCTGCCGCTTCTGAGCCGGATGGGCATGTGATTGACCTCTTTAAAGCTCCTCCTCCTCCTCGGGTATGAAATGGGAAGTGTGAATGGCAGTTCACAAATATATATGTGTGTGTATGTGTGTGTGTGCCCATCCTTCAGATGCACATACACCCCAGGCACCAGTCTGCACATTGTATGTGTATTTTAACTCAGTCCTCACAGACACATCGTGAGGTAGTTTTGTTATCATCCCATTTTTACAGGTGAGAGACCAGAGAGGTGAGGCAACTTCCCTGAAGTTACACAGCAAGCAAATGGCAGAGCCAGGATTTGAATAGTTTGGCCCCAGAGCCCTGGCTCTTCACCACAGTTCTTTGCTGCCTCTGTTTGTGGTTCAGGTTGACATGGTAACACATGGGACGGGTCTTCACCTCGTGCGTGGAGTGGAGTTGGGGCCCCGCAAGTGACAGTAGCTGCTGCTGTTTCGGAAGGACTCTTGGTGTGGCGGCAGCCCCGGTCAGTCCTGACAGGACCAAGGGGTGCGGCCTTGCTCGGTGCCAGCCGGTCCAAGTCTGTCCTTTCCACACCGAACGGACCTTGTCGCCCGCTCTGTGCCCCAGCTGCTCTGCCCGAAGCCGACGAGCCGAGAAAAGGGTCCGCACCCTGGGATGTGCAGCGATTCGGGACTAGAAGCCTTGGCTCATGCACGTGGCAGTGTCAGTGCATTTCGGGGATGTTTGTTCCACCGTCGGCTGTTGCTAGGGAGGCAGTGTGGTGTGTCAGCACTCTCTTGGGAGGCAGGAACCCCCAGCTGGGTGGCTTGCCTGAGAGGTCAGGGGGCAGGGTGCCGGTCCCGGAGCCCTTGCTGTTTCTCTGCAGCAGCCACGTCGTGGCAGGGCGTGCTCCCGTGGGTGGGCAGGGCCGAGCTGGCTTCACTTTATGCGGCCCAGCATCCAGCCTCCCTTGCAAACAAGTGCTTGCGAAGACGGCATTTGAGGGAATTAGGATTTTGAGTTCTTTCCATTTCCTGGCCCAGTGAATCATTCTGGGAGAAGTCACGACATTACACATTTCATTAGAGGCGTAAATCAGAAAAGAACAGTTCCTTGACCTCAGCAGTTTATAACCTAAATGAGTCATAAATAAAAAAACAACATTAAATAAAACTACTCTCTTTGACTGAGGCGACGGGAATAAAGGTGGAGCTGGCAGGTGGAGAGTTCTGTTCAGGGAGAGGGGAAAGGCAAAGTGCAGTGAGAGGAAAATGTAGCCTTTTCTAGAAGCCTCGCTGGTGAAGCGGCAGACATTTACTGAGCGCCTACTGCATACGGGGCTGTGCAAGGTGACAACAGCGGGGTCCCTGCTCCCCAAGATTACGTGCCCATCTCATGGAAACACAGGGAAAGACTATCGCACTCTGGGGACCCCGGGAAGGGGGCCCAGAGGAGGTAACACCGAAGAGTGAGCAGAAGCAACCGGAGGTCAGGGCCACCGCAGACACGGTGCGAGACCATGGTGGTGCGAGACCGTGGTGCCTGGAGAACTCGAAGTGGGTGGGTGGGACAGGCAGAGGCTGGGGATGGAGGGAGGGAAGCGAGGAAGAGGTTCTAATGCCACGTCCTCGGCAAGTCTGTGTGGAGGAAGGCCTTGGGGTGAGTGTGGAGTTGAGAGACGGAGTAAATTAAGGTCGTGAACCTCAGGAGGAGAGGGTTTTGTACCAGCAAAAAATAACAGGACTGTCACAGAGGCCATGGGAATGCTGAGAGAGTGCTGGCTTTCTTCCCACCCCTGTCAGATGTAGGGGGATCATAAGTGAGAATTTGGGGGACCCCAAGTGAGCCAGGAACTATGGGGTTGACAATCACATGGGCAAGCCCCATGTGACAGTGAGGAGAATGTCGTTTGGGGAGTTTGAGGATGGGGACGTTTGTGGACCGTGGAACAGAGTGGTCAGACGTGACCCGAGGAGACGATGACCCGAGGGCCTTGCGTCCGGGGCGTAGGCGAGGGTGGCAGGAACCCAAGCCACGGTGGGCTTGACTGGCCTCAGGCGCTGGAACGCCCTCTGGGGTAGGGTTTCCTGGCGCCCCTTCGGGGGGTCTGTGGCACTGCTTGGCATCCCAGGGAAAATCTTGGTGGAGCGTGGACACCAAGCTTCTTAGATCCTTCTCAGAAAAGTCTAATCTCCTGGGGAAATGGACCACAGGCCCCAGCCCCGTGGAAAGATCAAAGCTCTGACTGGGGACATTTGGCTTCTGGCTTCTGGCTTCGGAAGTGTCCTTGGGGGCGGGCTTGCACCAGTTTGGCGGTAGCAGCTCCCACAGGACCCTTCCCGTCCCACAGACGGACTCGCAGCACTGCCCTGTAGGTGATGGGATAAGCATTTCCTCGTCAGGACAGGCGGAGAGCTCGTCTTGTTCCTCCCGTCCGTTTTTGCTCTGTTGCGGCTGTCTGATTTTTAATCCTGCTCCTCTCTCTGTGGTTCAGAGCCAGACTATCAGGTGTACCTGAATGCCTCGAAGGTCCCCGAGTTTTCGGACGACCTCACGGAGCTGGAGTGCCGGGTCGTGGACATGAAGAGCGCAGAGCCGAGCGTCCGGGTCACGGTGTCCTGGTACTACAGGATGAACCGGCGCAGCGACGACGTGGTGACCAGCGAGCTCCTGGCGGTCATGGATGGGGACTGGACGCTGAGGTACGGGGACAGGAGCAAGCAGCGGGCGCAGGACGGAGACTTCATCTTCTCGAAGGAGCGCACAGACACGTTCAGCTTCCGAATCCAGAGGACGACAGAGGAAGACAGAGGCAGCTACTACTGCGCAGTGTCCGCCTGGACCCGGCGGCGGAACGACAGCTGGGTGAAGAGCAAGGACGTCTTCTCCAAACCCGTCCACATATTTTGGGCATCGGAAGGTGGGAGCTTTGTTCTTGTTCCTTTTTCCTGTGTTGTCCCGGCCTCAGCCATTGCACTGCATGTCGGCAGGTGGTAGTCACCCTGCAGGTGGCAGTCGGCCTGCAGGTTGCCATGGGTACCAGGAACCCAGGAGACGCGTGCTCAGGCGACTGCTGCTTGTACCTGCAGCACGCTGCCCTTTAAGACGGGGGTGCTGGGCAAGGGTGAGTCCTGGTGAGAGAGCTGGGGCTTGGTCGGTGGCAGGTCCTTGTCTTGCAGGGGCCCACACTGTGCCCGGGGTAAGCCATTGACACCGTTGCACCATGGGGTGGTTTTAGGCCAGACCTCGCACAGGCCATTGGGAGTGTGTCTGTGTCCACGTGTTCCCGCTGGACGCGGGCACATTGAGGTACCAGAGAGTGAGTGGAATCCGCAGGCCATTGCATTTGCCCCTGAGCTTCCCGTCTTCCATGCAGAGAGGTGGTTGCCAGGGAGAGGCGGCCAGAAAACAAGGGAAAAAATTTTTTTGATGCATCTCCCACGTGCTCAGAGCACTGCCGGCCATGGGACATCAGGTTCAAGTCCTCCTTCCTGTTCCTGTCTGTCTGCAGAGGCTCCCCAGGTCCTCCTCCACTCACTGGTGATAAGCACCACACGGCCCTGCAAGCCTCTGTTGACTCACTGGCACCCCTTCTCTCGTCCAGGACCCCAGACAGGGCCCCTGGGAACTCGGCAACATCTCCTTCTTCCCGAACCTCATCGCTGAAGGTTCCTTTCCCTTCCTCATTAAACATCACTGACCCCGCTCTCCCCTGAGGACCCTGTGCCCCCAGAGTCCTCCTGAGCGGTGTGTTTTCTTCCCACACCTCTTGTGGCTGGGCCTGGCTGGGGGCAGCGCCTTCCCTGTTCCTCACTGCAACTTCTGGGCCATTGTCCCTCCTTCCCGAGAATGTCAGCTCCAACCTCCTGTCCTCAGGTCTTCCTGCCTCTCGCTGCCCTCACTCATGACTCCCGGGTCCCCACATCCGTTCTCCCAAGATGTTAGCTCTTGTCTCACCGCCGCTCTGGCTCTGCCCAGAGCCTCCGGTCCTGCAGCTTCACTCTCCAAGCAGGGTGCTGGGTCACACCGCGACCGCCCGTAGGAGTCACCCAAAGAGATTTGTAAGGAAAACCAAAGTTTGAGTCCCCGCAGGAGAGTCTGTCTTAATGGGCCGAGGGTCCGCGCAGTCAGGGCGCTGGAATTGTAAATGCTCCTAAGGTGGGTCTGCTGGACGGCCGAGGCCAAGGGCCCCAGTGCAGGCAGGCCTGTCACTGCCAGCCCCTGTCCTTCTCTCTGGTCACCACACCCTCCGTCCCATTGCTGCTGTCCCCCCGCCCCCCTCTCACGACCTAACCTAACCTGTAAAGGCCCCTGTGCTGTTCAGTTCCAAACATTCCACTCTCTGCACACACTTCTGTCTTTCTAGACCATTTTCTCTAGTACTCCCACATGTACTCCTCCACTCCCCCGGGGTGGACAGCGCCTTAATCTGCTGCCCAGCCCTGCCCTTCCCCCCACCATCTTCACCTCTGTTTTACAAAGCACAGCCATTTGCCCAGGGCAGTCCAATCTGTACCTGTAGTCCCGCGGCATTTTCAATAGCATCTTCTTCATTCTTAGATGCATTGGCGGTGGGAGGTCGAATAAGTTAGGGGTCGCACAGCTGTTCCCTAGCCCGAGTTCCCAGGCACAATCATCCCCTGCCCACACCCTTAGCTTCAGGCCTTGCTAAATCCCGGCTGAACCACAGCCCAGTTCAAAGCCACCCGCTCGCCCGCTCGCTGCATCTGCAGAGCTGAGTGTGGCTGGAGAAAAGCCTGTGAGGTATTGACTGGCCTCCTTTGCGATGAGATCTGCGATCATTGAGGTCAGGAGGGCTGTCAGCACTCCCTGGGCATCGGGCTGCATTTCCTTAATCTGTTTTCTGCCCTGGCCTCTCACACGATTACTGCACAGCACCTTATCTGAGAAACTCCTCCCCTACCCCTAAACAAACAGAAACGGGGCAGGCGGCGGGGGAAATTCCCATATACCCTCCCCACTGCTGAGTCCAGTTATGTGGCCTTGTGTCCTAACAAACACCACCCTCTCACTGGCCACGTGGCTTCCCTCTCATGTCTTCAGTATTTCTCTCTTTTCTGGACCTTTCCCTTTGGCTCCAAAACAGTCTGTTGGATCTTCTGTCTTGGGTATTGTTTTAAAGCTAAACTAATGTTGACCTCCCGTCCCTTCCATCTTTCTGTCCCCCACATGCCCTTGCCCACCTGTTGCTTTGTTTTTTATTTCACAGTTGTCCCCACTCCCCCACGGTTTTACTTTACGTGATATCAGTTCCCTGTGGTCAGCTGCGGTCCAACACTGTCATGTGGGAAATTCCAGAAATTAGCAATGCACATGTCTTACGTGGCACACCAGTCTGAGCAGTGTGACGAAATCCCATTCTTTCCCTCTGTCCCTCTCCTGGGACGCGACTCATCCCTCTGTCCAGCATCTCCACTCTGAGCACGCCCCCTGCCCATCAGTCACCCAGTAGCCCGCCCGATGACCGGGTCAGCTATTGTATCGCTGTCCTGGTGTGCAAGGCGCCCCCACTTTACTTCATAACGGCCCCAGCACACAACAGTGTAGTGGTGCTGGCCGTCTGGATGTGCTGGAGAGAGTCCATAACACGCTTTCTTTACATGGAAAGGTGGAAGTTCTTGACTTAATAAGGAAAGAACAAAAATCATGTGCCAAGGTTGCTAAGATCTGGGATACGAACAAATCTACCCATAAAATTGCCTAATTTATAAATTAAACTTTGCCCTAGGTATGAATGTACAGTAAAAACATAGTGTGTGCAGGGTTCGGTACTATTCATGGTCTCAGGCATCCAGTAGGGGTCTTGGAGTGTATCCCCCACAGATAACGGGGTGGGGGGGGCTACTGTGTAACCAAAGGGTCTGGTTTGTCTTTACTTGATGTCTCCAGTTTCTCTCGTCCCATTCTCTCTGGTACCCAGTCTAACCACTTTCACCCTCTCTGCCTGTGATAGTGAGGCTACTAGTGATCCACCTAGTGTGAAACCCGATTGTTTGTCACCTGACTTGATTTCACAGGCACTCAGTCCCCCATCCTGGAAGTACTTGGCTTTTCCTCGGCTGCGGCACACCACCGTCTCCCGGCCTTCTTCCAACCTCCTAGCTTTCCCTCTGGGCCCCCCCGCTGGTTCCCCTTCATTTTCCTGACCCTGAGCCTCAGCCATCAGACTGCCTCAACACAGGCCTCGGGCCTTTTGTCTGTTAAACTTCACCCCCTTGGTGATCTCCTCTAAGCTCATTGAAATACCACCTACACTCTCGAGACTACAACTTTACAGTCCCACCCTGGACCTCCTCCCAGAGCTCTGCACTCAGCATCGTGTGTGTTGGCTTCCTGACTCTTGGTCTTCTCTCACCTTCTCCCGCACCACCGTTTCGGCTGTTCGGACAGAAACCTGCATCCTTAACTCCTCATTCTTCACAGCTGATCTCTAAGCCCCGCCACTGCTCACACTCTGCCGTCACCAGGCCCCCCTCCTCTCCTTGCCTGGGTAACATCACTGGCCTCCCGACTGGTCTCCTTGCTCCTGCCCTTGCACATGGCATCTAGGGCAGTCCCTGTGACACGTAAGTTGGGGCCCGGAACTCCTGCTCCAAACCTTCAAAGGCTCCCTGTCTCCCTCAAAGAAAAATCCAGAGTCCTTTCTGCAGCCTTGGATGCCACGTACCAGCCGTCCCCATTCCCTTCTGACCTCACCCACAAGTCTCCCCACACCCACCCCGCCTCAGCCGGCCTGCCTTTCCCCAGGTTCCTGCGGTCACCCGGCGAGCCTCTGCCCTCGCTTTCTGCGGGCTGTGCTGCTGCCCGGAACACTGTTCCCCAGGTGGACACAGGCCTCATTCCCTCGCCTCCTCGGGTCCCCATTCCCTTGCTTCCTCTGCGATTCCTTCAGATGATTCCTTCTCAGCGACGCCAACTGCGACCCTCCCCATCCCCGCCCACACCCGCATTGTTTTCTTCTTCCCCTGCTTTGTTTTCTCTGGAACACGTATCAGCATCTCACCCCCTATGTTTTACTTATTTACTTTGTGCCTCTTCCTCCACGAGCACGGAGAGGAAAGCACTTGTGTGTGTTTTGTTTACTGTCATGTTCCCAGTGCCAAGAGTATGGGAGGCTCTCAGCAAGCACTTGTGTGACCAAGGAGGGGCTGGCCGGAGTCACCGCAGAGTCGGGACAGAACCGGGGTGGCTCCGTGGGGCCTCAGGAGCCAAAGATCCTGGAGGGACACCGTAACGTACATGTTCTCCTGGCAGGTTTGGTGCGACAGCTATTCCCCCCCAAAACCCAATGTAACAATTTCATTGTGTAATGGGACAGATTATAGAATGAACCATCTCATGAAAGGATAAAAAGAATGTTTCATCCCTTTGTTCATCTAATCAACACATATTTAAGTGCCATCCAAGTGCCTGACACTGAGCTGTTCTAACATAGATGACTTCTAACGAGCTTAGGGATTGTTATTTCTTTTGACAGAGGTGTGGGAAGTAGCACCCTGAAGACCTAAAGTTAGTGCACACACGGGCACACGCTCAAAATGCTCCAACAGCACCTCGGTGGAAATGGCTAGATCTCCACGTGCATGCTCCCATCACTTTAGGAAAAATCTGTTCTGTAGGGCCACCGTCGTGTGACTGAACAGGGAGAGCACGTTTCTCTCTTCCCTGCCGGCTGGTTAAGCTAAGGGTTCCCCCCTGCACCCAGCGGGCCCTCAGCGGGGGGTGGGGGGTGGGGAGAGGCACGTGCCGCCGCCTGCAGCCCGTCTGGCCCGGATCACCGAGTGACTCTCCCGCACATCCTGGGAGCTGGGTGGGAACTAGAGGCTTCCCAGAGTCTTTATTTTTTTAACTCACAATTTTTACTTCTAGATTTTATTCATTTTTAGAGCGGGGAAGGGAGAGAGAAAGAGAGGGAGGGAACAGCGGTGTGAGAGAGGAACATCCATCAGTTGCCTCTTGTGCATGCCCGGACTGGGGACTGGAGCCGCAACCCAGGCGTGTGCCCTGGCCGGGAATCGAACCGGGGACTTTTTGCTGTGTGGGACGGCACGCCCACCGAGTGAGCCACACTGGCCAGGGCCCAAATGCTCGCTCTGAGTAAAACTTCTCAAGGAGCTGAAAAGCCAAATCTTCACCCATCAATTCCCTGTTCCCTCACACCCAATAAATCACTTCAGGCTGCCCTCCCTCATCCAGCGGTGATCTTCTCTCTGAGTTTCCAGATCGTCTGAAGTGCTGTTGTGTGACAATTTTCAAATAAATTCCTATTTGCCTGACATTGTTGTTTCAGATACGTATCCATGGTAAATGATCCCATTGGAAATCACCTGTTTCTGCTGCTTCGTTGCAGACTCTGTGCTGGTGGTGAAGGCAAGGCAGCCGAAGCCTTTCTTCGCTGCAGGAAACACGTTTGAGATGACTTGTAAAGTGTCTTCAAAGAATATCAAGTCACCGCGCTACTCCGTCCTCATCACAGCTGAGAAGCCTGTTGGGGACCTCTCCAGTCCCAACGAAACCAAGTACATCATCTCCCTGGACCAGGATTCTGTGGTGAAGCTGGAGAACTGGACAGATGCCTCCCGGGTGGATGGCGTCGTGTTGGAAAAAGTGCAGGAAGATGAGTTCCGCTATCGAATGTACCAGACTCAGGTGTCGGACGCGGGGCTGTACCGCTGCGTGGTGACAGCCTGGTCTCCTGTCAGGGGCAGCCTGTGGCGAGAAGCAGCCACCAGTCTCTCCAACCCTATCGAGATAGACTTCCAAACCTCAGGTGAGCTGAGAACCCTGTGCAGTCATAGATGGAGCTAGGAGAGACCCTAGGGCTTTGATCCAAAGGCTTTATTTTTTTAACAGCTCTATTGAGATATGATTCGTATGCCATACAGTGTACCCATTTAAAGAATGTAGTTCGAGCCTAGACCCTCTGCTCGCTCCTGCTCACAGAGGTATGCAGCCTTTCTCCCCAGGGTGGTGGTTCTCCAACCAACGTCGTCAGTGGCCACCTACAGCTTTACCTGGGAACCTGAAGGAAATGCATGTGCTGGGCCTGCCCCAGACCCGCCGAACCGTGCTCCCCGGGGGCGGGCCTGCACCTACAGCCCGAGTCCCACTGCCCTCCCGGCGACTGTGGTGTAAAGCGGGGTCCAGAACCTCTGCTCTGTGCGGGGTTCTCCACCTGCACACTCGGAAAGTTTTGACCTGGATACTGGTTGTAGTGGCCTGTCCTGGGCTTTGAAGGTCGGGTCGCCAAGTTAAATACAGGGTGCCCAGTTCAACTTGGATTTTAGATGGACCGCCCTGTTTATCTGATTCAATTTAACGGGGAGCCCAGAACTTGATTTGGCCACCCTGCCCAACTGTAGTTTTTATTTGCTAAAGCGGGCAGCCCTGGTTGTAGGATATTAAGCATTCCTGGCCTCTACCTTAGTAGCACCTCACAGCTCTGTCCCTCAGTAATGACACGTAAAAATGTCTCCAGTGTCTCCAGTGTCTCCCTCCGCCCCAGCCTACCCCCACCCTTTCCGTACACATACACACACAAAATGAAGTGTATAATCCAGCCCTGGATGGTGAGGCTCAGTGGACTGAACTCGGGCTGGTGAACCAAAGGGTCACCGGTTCGATTCCCAGTCAGAGCACATGACTGGGTTGCAGGCCCAGGTCCCCAGTAGGGGGCAGGTGAGAGGCATCACACATTGACTTTTCTCTCCCTGTCTTTCTCCCTCCCACCCCTCTCTCTAAAGATAAATAAATAAAATACTTTTTAAAAAATATTTTTAAAAAGTATATAATGCAGTGGCTTTCAGTATTTTCACAGTGTAGTGCAGCCATCACAACAGTCCATTACAGAACCCTTTCCTTATACCCCAGAGACACCCCACACCCCTTAGCGGACATCCTTCAGTTCCCACCCCCGACCCCACAACCCGCTGCCCCTGAAACCACTGATTGAGCCCGGTCTCTACAAACTCGCCCAGTCTGGACACTTCACACGAATGGAGTATAATGCGTGGACTTCCTGTCTGGCTGCTTTCTCCGTAGCACAGTGTTTCCATGGGCCCTCCGTGGGGCATCCTGTAGCAGGTCCTCATCCCTGTCGTGACTGAGTGATATTTCATCTTGTGGCTGTACCACGCTTTGTTCATCCACTTGTTAGCTAGTGGCCATTTGAGTGTTTCCAGTTCTTGACTATTCTGAATAATGCTGCATAAACATTCATGTACAGTTTTTTTGCATGAACATACTACCCTCATTTTAAAAAACAGCTAAAGAGCTATTTCAGCCCTGGCCGGGTGGCTCAGCCGGTTGGAGCACTGTCCCCTACACCGAAAGGTGGTGGGTTCAAGGCCAGGTCAGGACTCACGTGGGCAACAACAGATTGGTGCTTCTCTCTCACATCGATGTTTCTCTCTGTCTGTCTGTCTCTCTGTCTTTCTCTCCTCCCCACTTTCTCTCTAAAAATAAGCATATCCTTGGGTGTGGATTTTGGAAAAAGCAGCTATCTCAGCATCTTTAGGAAACGTGGCAGAGTGTAAACAAAGGCAGGGGGCGGAGCCTCCAGGGAGGTTGAATGACTTGCCGAAGGTGGAAGGTGCAGAGATAAGGCCCCAGTGGAATCCAGCCCCTGGGCTTTCCCTCCGACAGGTCCCTAAGACTGAGGGTGACGGGCACTAGTCTAAGCCCAGCAGATCAGGCAGTATTTCCGCACAGGGACTGCGTGTCCAGCCTCGTGGCCGACCTCACTTTTGGACTGGAAGGAGCTGTCCTGTCAGTCCGTCGAGCCACCAGAGCTGCGGCGGTGTGGACGGATGTGTCTGTTAACCCGGTTTGTTAAGAGTAGTTACTAATCGTGTTCATCTTTGGAAACATTAATGACAACAAGGGCGCTTTTGTGTCTATTGTGAATTGATTCTATCTTTGGTAAGTAAAGTGTTTTTATCCTGTAAGGTAGAAAGGTTCACCTTTTTTTATTTTTAAGACATAGATACGTATTTTCCAATAGAAATATTTCTTGTTCATCTGTGCAATTCATTAAGTTTCCCTAACAAATCTGTGTATGGTTGTATGTGTTACCAGGTAAATGACATAAAAGTCTTTGATCCCCAATATTATTTAGAATATCAGCATAAAGGATCATTATTTGTGGGTTTTAGTATACAGTGTTTTCACTAAATCTGCCTTTGGTTCCAGTTAGAAATTTCTGAATGTATAAATTCATACTCAGCTATAAAAATTCAGGTATGTATGATGAAATAATTTTCAGCCACTTTTTAAGTTCTTAGCCTTTAGATTAATAAAGAGTAAATACCGATTTAAGTCCTTAGATTTGGAAAGAACAGTGGAAGCACACTTCTCTTTTATTGTGTATCTGCTTGTTTGTTTTTTAATATTGGCTTTATTGAGCTATAGTTAACATACCTTAACATCTACCCATTTACAGAATACAACCCAATGGTTTTAGTATATTTATGGAGTTGTATCTGGTTCTAGAACTTACTCATCACTCTAAAAAGAACCTCTATGCCCATTGGCCGTCACTCCCCTCGCCCCGCCCCCAGCCCCTGACAACCCCTAACTTCTCTGGCTCTGGAGTTCTCCCTCTTCTGGGCATGTCATCTGCAGGGAATCATGTATGTGGACTTCCACTTATGGGTACTTTCACTTGGCACACAATCTTTTTAAGCTTCAGCCACGTTAGGGCATGTATCAGTGCTTCCTCCCCTGGTATAGGTAGATAATACTCCATCGCACAGATGCATCACATCCTGTTTACCATTTATCCACTGGTGGGCATTTAGCTTGTTTCTGCTTCGAATAATGCTGCCATAAACTAGCCCTCAAGCTTTGTGTAGACATAAGTGTTCATTTCTTAGGAGTGATCCTGGGTCACATGGCAACGCGGTTGAACTCTCTGACGAACTGCCAAACTGTTTTCCAAAGCAGCTGCATTCCCACCAGCAAAGTATGAAAACTCTGATTTCTCCATGTTTCTGATTATCGCCAGCGTGGTGGGCGCGAAGTAGTATTTCACTGTAGTTTTAACTTGTATTCCCCTAATGACTGTTGATATTGAGCATCTTTTCATGCAGTTATTGGTCGTAACTCTAGAGAAATATCTATTCAAATCGTTTGCCCATTTTTAAATTGTTATTTTTATTGTTGACTATTGTTGACTATAATAAACTATTGTTTATTGTTTACAGTTTTTCATAGTTTAGATACAAGTTTCTTTTTTTTTAAGATTTTATTTATTTATTTTTAGAGAGGGGAGGGAGGGAGATAGAGAGAAACATCAATGTGCGGTTGCTGGGGGTCATGGCCTGCAACCCAGACATGTGCCCTGACTGGGAATCGAACCTGCGACACTTTGGTTCGCAGACCAAGCTCAATCCACTGAGCTACGCCAGCCAGGGCTTACAAGTTTCTTAACAGACTACTCTAGTTAGTCTTTTTACTTTCTTAATGGTGTCCCGTGAAGCACCCAAGTTTTTAATTTTGACAAAGTCTAATTTTTTATAAGATTTTATTTATGTTTAGAGAGAAGGGAAGGGAAGGACAGAAACGTCAATGTGTGGTTGCCTCTCACGCGTCCCCTATGGGAGACCTGGCCTGCAACCCAGGCACGTGCCCTAGACTGTGAATCGACCGGCGACCCTTTGGTTTGCAGTCCAGCTCTCAATATACCAGGCTGCACCAGCCATGGCCCAATTTACTTTTTGAGTTAATTTTTTTGTGTGTGGTATGAGGAAAGGATTCAGCTTTATTCTTTTGCCTGTGAATACCCAGCTGTCCTAGCACCACTTGCTGATCAGTCTGTTCTTTCTTTCACCGACTTGTCTTGGCACTCTTGTCAGAAATGATGTAACCATAACTTAAGGGTTTGTTTCTGGACTCTCTGTTCTCACATTGATTTATGTGTCTGTTTCTATGCTAGTAACACATTATTTGATTACTGTAGCTTGTGGTAAGTGTTTTTAAAAATTGAGAGAGAGAGAGAGAGAGAGATCAATTTGTTGTTCCACTTACTGTGTATTCATTGGTTGCTTCTTGTATGTGTCCTGAGCAGGGATTGAAACCTTGGCATATCGTGATGATGCTCTAACCAACTGAACTACCTGGCCAAGGCCCGTGAGTTCTGAAATTAAGTGTAAGCCTTCCAACTTTGTCTTTTTTTTTTAAGTTGCTGTGGCAATTCTGGGTCTCTTTCATTTCCATATGTAGTTTAGGACAGCTGGGACTTTGGTAGGGTTTGTATTAAATCTGTGGATCAATTTGAAGAGTATTGCCATTTAACAGTATTGTCTTCCTTTCCATATGGAAGGTCTTTCCATTTATTTAGGTCTTCTTTAACTTCTATCACTGGTCTTTTGTAGTGTTCAGTGTACAAATCTCAAACTTCTTTCTTTAAATTTATCCTAAATATTTTCTGATACTCTTATAAATGGAATCACATTCTTAATTTCCTTTTTGGTCTGTTTGTCGCAAGTCTGTAGGAGCACAACTGAGTTTTGTATATTTTTCTTGTATTCTGCAACCTTGCTGAACTTATTTTAATAGTCTTTTAGCTGATTCCTTGGACTTTTAAAATTTTATTTACTTAAATAAAAAAAATTTTTTAAAGCCCTGGCTGGCGTAGCTCAGTGGATTGAGCGCGGGCTGCGAACCAAAGTGTCGCAGGTTTGATTCCCAGTCAGGGTACATGCCTGGGTTGCAGGCCATGACCCCCAGCAACCGCACATTGATGTCTCTCTCTCTCTCTCTCTATCTCCCTCCCTTCCCTCTCTAAAAATAAATAAAATCTTTAAATTTTTTTTTATCTGAGAGGGAGTGAGAGAGGAAAGGAGAGAAACAGATTTGTTGTTCCACTTATTTATGCATTCGTGGGTTGGTTCTTGTGCGTGCCCTGCAAATAAAGACAGTTTTACTTCTTCCTCTCCAGATCGAATACCTTGTATGTCTTTCTCCTGCCTAGTTTCCCTGGCTAGAGCCTCCAGTATGGTGTGTGAGAGTGGTGGCTCCCATGGACATCTCTGTCTTGTCCCTGATCTCGGGCGGGAGGGGGGTGGCGTGCTCGGCCTCTCACCCTCGAGTGTCAGGGAGGCTGTGCGTGTCCCGTGGATGCCCTGTTTTCAGTTGCAGAAGTTTCCTTTCATCCCCGGTTTGCTGAGTGTTTTTGTCAGAGAGAGCAGTTGGTGGTTATGAAAGGCTTTTCCTGTGTCCGTGAAGATTCAGATGATTATGTAGTTTTTTCTCTTTTATTTGAGTATCTGTTTTATTGTCTGCAGGCGTTTATTCCATCTTAGGCTTCTTTTTGATGTTTCTTTAAAAACTGTTATGAGGAAGAGGGGAGACATAAAATCTTTTGTATCTCTGGGTAAGGAATGGATATTGAATATATTTCTCAATTCTTTAAGGGTCAGCATAACAGAAGAAAAATCGCTGTAGCTTCGAGGATGAATAGGCTGCCTAAAGTTTTTATTGAAATCCCTGGAGCCGTCACGGCCAGTTCACAGTTGAGGAGGTGTTGTCATCAAAACCAGCAGCCGGCAGAGTGCCGTAGCCCCAAATAGCTCCCAGCAGATACTGACTTGGTGCTGAAGAGCCGTCACTTCTTAAAAATCAGCAGCACACTGTCAGACACACACACCCACACACACACACACACACACACACACACACACACACACACACGGCAGAGGGGCCCTCCCTGGTGTCCCCCATCCTGTCCCGGGTCCCTGGGCAGTTGCCTCTTGGTGGGAGGACAGTGTTAAAGGTTCTGGTCTGTTAAAAGAATAAAAATCAAGTTTTTCTCCTTAATAGTGAAATGGAAAAATATAGCAAAGTAGAAAGAAGAAGGAGAGAATCAGCTATACACTTAATTTGCAGTCTCCGTCCTCCTATAATTTTTCTCTGGTATGCTGTCTTCATAACTTTGAGATCAGACTGTATATACAGTTTTATGACCTGCTTTTCCCCCACTGAACATGATGAGATAAACATTTTCCATGTTATAGCAAATTCTAGATAAACACCAACTGGAATGACTAAACCTACTAGAATTTGGTTAACCGTCACGCTATTGGTGGACACCCAGATGGTCTGCAATCTTGGCTTTCACAGAAATATTGCTGTTAACAGCCTTCTTTTATGGGCTGGAGTTGGGAGATGGTTTGTGTCAATGTTTGTGTTTAAAAGCCAAGCGGTGCGTGTACTCTCTGCAGACTTGGAATCTGGGGACCCCTAGTGACTCTGCGTGTTCGCTTAAATTCTCTGTGCCCTAGTCTGTCATCTTGAAGTTAACCAGACGAACCCCTTCACAAAAACAGCATTCCCACAGAAATCGGCCATAATAAAAATATTTCTAAGCCCGGGATAACGACCCACGTGAGCAGTGAGGGCGCTGGTCGCATAGCAGGAAGCCCGCTGCTGTGCACAGCTCACAATGGAGGCCTTTTCCCGTCCTCGCCTGCACGGTGGGCCGCGGCACAAGCGCTCGTTGTTCCCGCAGCCAGGGCCGCTGGGGAAAACGGGGGGCTGCAGCTCGTGACCCACGAGGCGTTTGGGGTTTTCTCTGGTAACATAAAGAAAAGAAAGGGAAATTTGTCCAAATGAGATAAGCCTCCTCTTGCTGGTTCAAATTAAGTAAATAAAAACCTAAATCCATTATGAGGATCTCTTTATGCTTTGTCACGTTGCGTTCTCCTAGAAGGAGCCTGGACACTTGAAGAAAGCCCCCCGATATAGCTCTGTTTTATTGCCATGAAGCTTCTAGTTGGAGAAAGCACCGTGATCCCCACTGCTCTCCTGGACCCACGGATGGCCACGTGTGGCACTCAGTCCCCCGGTCATGACCTCCATCCGAGCCCGTTCCAAGCAACTGGCTCCATCCTTTCCCGCCTCACTGCCATGAGCAGAGCATGTGCAGGGCGGGGAGGGCCTGCGGCGCCCTGGCTGAGAGCCGAGTTCACTGAGGGCGCGATGCCCAGCAGTAGGTGACGTTTCCTTGTCTTCTGTGCTTTCGTCCCGTCCCGCTTCCTGGGACGGCTGTGCAGTCCTGTTCTCCATCCCTGGAGCTAAATTCCCCGTGGTTAATCTGGACTCAGCCAAACCCGCCCTGGGCTGTCTCACCTCCCTAGGTTTCCACATTCTCCAACCGCCCTTCAGCTTTTCTCTCAGCCAAACAGGTTCCTCAGGGACTTGGTGTTAGGAAAGCAGTCTGACCGAGTCATGCTGCTGGTCATGCAGGAACGAAAACACAGCTTTTTCCATTCTTTGCCTGATCGGGTTGCACGACCTTTTACTCTCATCATCATTTTTTTTAGACGTTGAAAAAAAGAACTGTTTTATTTCTGGTCACCTGATTTAAAAGGTGGTAACACCTGTATTCTTAGCTTCTAATGAGTTTCAGAATCAGTGTCCAGGGCCATCTGTCTTTGCTTCCCAGGAAGCTCGGCGGAAATCCCATAGTGTTGGTATTCTAGAACCTTCTTTAGGTTTGCCTGTTCCTAGGTATTATGCATTAGGATGCGGTAAATGCTGGGCTGTTTGGGATCAGGCTGGCTGTACGCTGTGGAATGCTATCCCCAAAAAGTGAGCCATGAAGGGGTTAAAACTCGAGTGTAGTCCCTGGCCCCCGCCTGCCCGAGCAGGAGACAGGAGCCACAGATACTTCTCTGGATGTGCTCCATCTTTACCCTTCTTGTTTTGTTGCTCACACGTGTGCTCGTTGCCTTGCAGCTGAAAAGCTGGGAGGCGGCACTTCTGCTGCGCTGTGGGAGACGGTGCTGGGAGGAGTCAGCGTGGTGTGGGTAGAACCAGCTCCTGGCCTTTGGAGCAAGGAGAGGGCCCTTTTCTAAAAGTGGACTGGGTAGCAAGGGAGTGTTCTCAGGAGGACATGTAAGGCAAATCCTGTCTGGGTAGTTTTTCTTTTTTTTTAAAGGCATATCCACACCGCCCACTTCCCCCCGCAGATCAGCACCTTGCCCAGGACACGTGCTGGAAATGTTGTCATCACTGGCATGTGCATCTCCTTCCTGGATTTCAACCTCTTAGCCGCACCAGCACAAGGAGGCTGCTCGCTCCAGGGCCCAGCGCGTCCCTGATTCAGTCCCCATCCCCCTAATCTCCAAGCCACTAGGACTAGAAGTAAATCACCGGGAACCAGAAACAACCCCCGCTGCACCTGGGTGGGAGGCTGGGGCGGCCTCCACGTGACAACGGGCTGTCATCAGAAAAGCTGTGAAGGAAGAGCCAGAAGCAGAGTAGTTCTTGAGGAAGAGCTCTGTTCTGGTCGTGATCTTACAGTGGAGTGCATGCGGATGTGCCTGGGCTCGGCTTGTCTCCGCGGAAGAGACGTGGCCTCAGCGCGCCTTTTATTTGCTGTTTCTAGTCCCGTCCTGAGGAAAGGGAGGCTCACTGAGATGGCCTCGGGTATCAAGAGTGGGACCTGACAGTGTGAGAGAGAATAACGAGGGTCACTCTCTTCCAGGGCCCGTGTTCAATGCCTCCGTGTACTCCGACACGCCGTCCGTCACCCGGGGAGATCTGATCAAACTGTTCTGCATCGTCACTGTCGAAGGCGCAGCCCTGGACCCAGGTACTTCTCCCCACCTGTTCTCCCTCCCCCCGTGGCTTTCTGGAAGTGTTTCCGGCATCGTCCCTGCCGTGTTTCACAGGTGTGCGAGTCAGGGGTTGGGCTGTCTGTTTATCCCCAAACTGCTTGACGCAGGACTTTGTTCTCAGTAGGGGTTCAATAAGTATCTGTTGAATGGATGCATCTGTCTGTTAGATGAATTGGAAATGCATCCAGACATTTAATCTGGCTGTCAGGGCGATCAGCGGGCCGCTTCGAGGGCTGATGCTGATGCTGATGCGAGCAGCTTGGAGATGCAGCGCAGACCAGGCTCCTCCCCTTTGTCTTGCACTCACCTAACCGTTCAGATTCCTCCTGAGCTCCTCTGTGCGCGGGTGCTGTTCGAGATGCTGGGCGTGGAGGAGCAAGCAAAACATTCCGAGTCTGCCCTCGCGGCACTCGCAGCCCAGTTAAGGAGACAGGCAGGAAAGGAGTCCCCATATCATATCAGATAGTGATTGACGCTATGAAGAAACACCGCAGGGAACAGACAGGTAGCAAGTAACCAAGGGTTGCTAGTGTAGATTAAATTCTTAGAAAATCTTCGTAAATTTTCTGTTGCAGAAAATATTGGCATTGCTAGCAGGATGCCAAAGACTTGTGGACCATTAGTCCTACGCCCTTTCTGCTTGCCCCCCTTCATGACAGGCGATGCCCCTCTCTCACTGTTAATTAAAGGAATGGCAGATGCAAACACACATAGATGTCTGTGTTGCCGGGCAGGACCGTACCCCCCTCTGCCTTCTGAAGAGCTCAGGGAGTAGCTGAGTCACTGCCTGGGGGCCACCCGTCTCCTCTGCATGCTTTGACCTTGGGCATCTTTGCGCCGCCCACCCCATCACAAGCAGAGCCATGGCCTCTCCCAGGCCATTTTTGTACCTTAAAAGGGCTAGATCTGTGCAGGTGTTGTAGAGTTCTGTGCAGAGACCACTGGACATGTGGCCCTGGGATGGACGCTGGAAGCAGGAGTTCATTCTGTATCAAAGGTGGGTTATAAGCAAAGACAGGGTGGCCTGCAGGGAAACCAGCATGAACACCATGGGGGGAATGGCAGAGGTGGTGTCGAGGAGCAGAGGCCTGGGCGGCCTCCCCTTGAGGTCTGACCTCTGCGGGACCACTGGTTGAAGGTGCAGGTAGCAGCCAGTTCAGAGCTGGCAAATAGTTTCTGTGAAGGACCCAGGTGAGAAGTACTTCCGACTCGGTGGGCCAGATGGTCTCTGCAGCGACTGCTCCGCTGTAGTGTGTGCAAGCAGAGTCGTGCAGACCGGGGCACAGCTGCAGCCCCGGGAAACGGTGCGCAGAACAAGCAGGGGGCCAGACTTGCCCGGCAGGCCAGAGTTTGTGACCCCCAGACTGGCTGATGGATGCCAGAATTGTCTCTCTGAGGGAACCCAAACATGGCTGAGCTTTAGAGACAGGAAAAGGAAGAGCTTGTAGAAAACGTAAGAAAAGGAGAAGACAGAAACCACCCCAAACGACAGAGGTGGTCAGCGCTGCCGTGGGGGGAAAGGAGCGAGGAGCCGGGGTCCTGAACGCACCAGTCGGCAGTTTCGTCACTGCGCAAACATCGTGGGGTGCGCTCACCACACCTAGATGGTCGGCGTGCTGCTGGAGTTGGGCACGTGCACTTCTGTGCAGCTGGCAGCCCAGTGGGTGTGTTCGCACCAGCATCACCACACACGTGTGAGTCACACATGTGATGTCACTGTGATGTCACTACGTGATAGGAGGTTTTCAGCTCCGTGATAACCGTATGGGACCACCGCCGAGTGTGGTCGTCATGCTGCGTGTGACTGCGTCCTGCCGAGGACCCGAGGACCCGAGGACTGGGGACACACAGGAGAATTTACGAGTGAAAATGAAGGTGGGGGTAGAAAACGATGCCAAGGGGAGGGGAGGGCAGGACTTTCCAAAAGTTGGATGGAGATAATGCCGTTTTTACCCTTAAAGCTCATTTATGATAGATGCAAAAATAAATCATTTAAGCGTTCTTTCTCAGTAAATTAATGGGTCACCACTGGTGCCCTTAATCTAACAAGTCTTTTCCTCCGGAGTAATTGCAAAAGCGATAGGCTACTGTTATCGAGCAGATCACAATTTTCCAGGACTTTGTCCTCTTGGACTGTGTGGATGGAAGATTCTGAATAATTAAACACACGCTGTAATTTAGTTTTTCCTCACGCATCCCATGGGCTGTGAAGGAATTCTCTTTTCGGAAAGGACAGGTTTCATAAGGGAGCCAAGTGCCACGCCACACCTGTGCCAGGTGGGGGGATGGCCACAGGCAGGTGGCGGCCGTGTGGAGGTGGCGTGTCAGGTCAGGTTTTCCAGAAGCAAAACCTGAGACAAGCATGCGAGTAATTCATTGGAGGTGTGCTCTCCGGAGAAGACCATGAGGGCGCGAGGGACTCAGCACAGAGCAGGAGAGAAGCCAGCCAGGCTAAGAGGTGAATTCAAAGCGAGTCAAAGTCCCTGTGGGAGCTCCGGAGAGTGGGTGGCACCACAGAGTGCGACCTGCTCGAGGGAAGGGAAAGGGCTGGGCTCTTACGTCCCCGTGTTAGTCAGTCGTTGTCCACAGGCTGAATGGCTGGGGCAGAAGGGCGTTCCTTACCCCCCAGGAGGCAGCTTCTGTCAGCTAACGCCAGTCCTCTGGAGGACACTCCAGGCGTGAGAGCATAAGCAGCCAACACCTGCAGCAGCTGGGGGCTCGGCACACCAGCTGGTCGGGACGGGGACCAGGAGCCGCTGCTCCAGGCAGTAATGCCCCTCCTGTCAGCAGCAGCTATTTGTAAAGCTGTATGTTGAACTGTGGAGATGAGGATGTTGTTCATGGCAACCAACTTTTATTGAGCACTTACTACGTTCCAGGTGCTGTTCTAAGCATTTTACAAAGATAACAACTATCTTAACCATGGTGATGTTGTTATTTTCATCTTACAGATGCGGAAAACTAAGTCACCATGAATTTCAGTGACTCACCAGGTCATGAGGCTAATAAGTACCGGTGCTGGGAGTCTAGTCCACTGAGCCTGGCCCTGCGGCCTGGCCGCTGCCGCCCTGGAAGGCACAGCAGGGCTGGGCTCAGAGTCTGGGCACAAGTCACAGGGACACAGTGTGACTTTGCTGTCACTCACCCCCAGCACCTGCGAGTGACAGCAGCTCTGAGCTAGAATTTTCCTGCAGGACAGTGCTGCAGGTGCCCCCCCGCCGTGGCACCGCCAGGATGCGAGGGTGTGGACAGCACGCCCTCTGCCCCCGGGAGCCGGTCTGCTGGGCGAGAGATGACCTGCACTGTGGGAACAATCAAATTGTTTGCCCAGGTGCCGCAGCGGCCGATGGGGAGAAAAACAAAGTGTTTTGAGGATCAGAGTAGAGAGCCGTCATCACCCTGGCGGCAGAGCTGAGGTTTTCCGAGGCCCTTAACATTTTTAGAGTGAGTTGAAAAGGAATGATCATTTGGGTAATTTTGTAGAAATTCTTGCAGGCATCTGAATAGAGTAATTTATTTGCCTTAGGATGTGCTTTTTGAGGTTACAATGTGTATTTTCACTACATGAGTGTTCCTTTGTTTAACCAAAACTGTGTTAGTTAACCTTTGTCACGTAACCTTTGTGTTAACCTTTCTATAGAAGGCCTTGTCACGTGAATTTAAGATAAACAGCGTTGGTGGCATTGCGCAGGCCTTCCTTGCCCGCCGGATGGGTCTCAGGCCCGACTCGCTCGAAACCAGTTGGTGACAGTCAGAAGCAGAGGTCGGGGCCCGTGGCAGACGCGCTCTCTCCGCAGTCTTTGAGAATTACCACTTGTGCCAAAGTCTTCTTTCTCTAATGCCCGTATTAATTTATGTGAGGCTTTTAGAACCTTAATTTCGCAGCATACTTTACGATTCAGCAGCATTACTCTCCGGGACTGTTAAACTGTGTTCAATTTTCTCAGCTTGACATGTTTTCCTCTGGTTCTGAACGTATGCACTTCTGCGGGGGTTGGGGGCAACCGCAGCGAACAGCGAAATCAGAACTGTTTACGACTCGAATCGCTGTACGACTCCCTTGACGTACCTTTTGTTTCTTAGGACTGTCGGGTCCTTCCAGTCTTGGGTGCTTCTGCCCCAGATGCCCAAGGACCCTGCTTTCTTTGGGAGACACAGTGTGTGACGTCACCACATCCCAGCTTTACATCCTGTGTTCTTTGTAGGAGACAGTTGGGGTCTCACTCTTCTTCCTGTGCTCCTTAGGCTGAGTGATGGCAGCAGTGAGGTTATGGGGGGTGGGGGGGGCCGGGCCCTGGGGCTGGGTTCCCTGGGTCAAGACACATGCTTTGCCGCCTGCTGGCTGTGTGACCTCACGGGTATTTGGTCCTGCACAGGGTGCAGAGTGTTACAAGTGCCCTCACCACAGGGTTGGTGTGAGGCCTCGGTGGGGCCTAAGCAGGCAGAGCAGTGCTGGCCTGGGGTTGGGCAGCCTGCGTGTTAGCCGCACGTGGTGTTTCTGCCCATGGCACTGACCCCAGGGTGTTGGCTTGGTGATCCGTAGATGACATGGCCTTCGATGTGTCCTGGTTTGCGGTGCACTCCTTCGGCCTGGACAAGGCTCCCATTCTCCTGTCGTCCCTGGACCGGAAGGGCATCGTGAGCACGGCCCGCAGGGACTGGAAGAGCGACCTCAGCCTGGAGCGTGTGAGCGTGCTGGAGTTCCTGCTGCGGGTGCACGGCGCCGAGGACCAGGACTTCGGCAACTACTACTGTTCCGTGACTCCCTGGGTGAGGTCGCCCACGGGTTCCTGGCAGAGGGAGGCAGAGATCTACTCCAAGCCCGTCTTTCTGACTGTGAAGATGGATGGTAAGAGCGACGTGCAAATAATGCTGGGGACAGCAGCGGACGGAAGCCAGGTCTCCCCAGCTTGAGGAATGTGCTGGAACTCGGCCTGGCTTCCTCTGTGCCTGGCTGGGGCCAAAACCAGAAAGGGCACAGGCAGCCCTTGCTGTTGGCCCCGGCTTGGGTGTTGGATGCTGGGGGCACCACTGAGAAATGATTTTTAAGACCCACTGGAAAGATTTGGTGCTTCCTATAGATTCTATACAAACTCACTCTGCCAGGGAGAGGCAGAGAACAGAATTGAGAGGGCAGGTTCAGGGCTCCGGGCGAGGCGGTAAATGGGTTCCTGTGACTTTGTCTTCTTCTGGATTCTGCCTCTCGGAAAAGGGAGGACCCTCCTGATGATGTCACCAGCATGGAATCCTAGGGTGGGGGCAGTGGGGGACACTCCCAGCCTTTCTGGCCCCCACTGACCACCAGGGCAGCCTAAGGAGGTAGTCCGAGGGCCCCCCCAACCCTGTTCCCTGAGCATTCCAGGGTGGGGACAGTGGTTCCTTGATTAACAAGAAATGTCTTCTCTGCGAAAAGTTTCAGAGCTAACATTAATTGAAAAAAACTCCGCGAAGAGAATTAAAGTCCAGGTGCCTCTGAGCATTAGGAGGCACTTGGAGTTTGTTGCCCTGGTGACGTTGTCATTTGGGGGCACCGGGAGGGGCCTCAGCTCTTCCGCAGATGACTTAGCCCTTCAGATCCTTTACTCCCCTTCTAGTAAAGTGGGGTGTCAGCCTCTCCTCGGCTGGCTGTGACAGCGTCAGTGCCATAGGACGCATCAGGCACCTCCGCAGTGCCAGCATCCGCCCAGGGAGAGTTGGTGCTTCTGGGGAGGGGCACGTGGGGCGGGGGCGGGGGACCTGAGCAGTGCCTGTGCGTCCCTGACACCGGCACCGTGTTTGCACCTTAGAAACCCTTCCCTTGAAGTGGCTCCACATGAAACCCAGATTTACCAAACAGGTGTGGCGGGGGGGGTTATTCACTGTGCCCGACAATTTACTAGGGCTACTTAAAATAGCCCCCAGCACACGTCAGTCATCCGATGCATGCGGTGGGTTTACATACAGTTATTATTTTTTTTAAGGAGGCATCTGCTGCGGAGTGTGCGGTGGCCTTATACTGACTTTTAAAAATCAGTCTCCTGCCAAAACCCTAAAAAGCAAATTGACATTCAGAGATTCAGAAATCACTTTTCTGTTTTCTCCCTGCTCCGCCCCCACCCAGAACTGCCCCAAGAGGCGTTTGCTGGCTTCTGGACAAACAGGGCGGAGCACTAGCGTCAAAACAGCCAAGCGCAAGGCCAGGCCCTGGAGACGGGTTGGGGAGGAGGCGTGGTCTCACCTGCAGCCTCCGCCCAGGTGTCGCTCACCATCCTCCCTCTGCTCTCCCTCTCCCAGTGCTGAACGCCTTCAAGTACCCGCTGCTGATCGGCGTCGGCCTGTCCACCGTCGTCGGGCTCCTGTCCTGCCTCATCGGGTACTGCAGCTCCCACTGGTGTTGCAAGAAGGAGGTCCAGGAGACACGGCGCGAGCGCCGCCGGCTCATGTCCATGGAGATGGACTAGGCCGGCGCCGGCCGAAGCAACGACGGGGACGGCCCAGGAGCGATTTGGGCGAGAAGAGGACGGTGGTACTGGAACGTGACGTGCGTTACACTAAAACCCAGTCCTCTCTAATCTCAGGTGGGACTCGGCGCTCTCTCCTCTGCATGTCAAGCCCGGAGCGCGGACACGTTTACCAGCACACAGCTTCTCTTCCCACGGCACTTTCTGAGGACAATCGAGTGTGTCTTTCCCAACCGTGGCTTTTTAATGGTTAACCTGTCTAATTTTTTTCTCCTACTGGTTTATAAATCTCTGACGTGTGTGTGTGTTTATAGCTCTTGTGCGGAGGGACTGTGGTGAGGACGGGGTGATGGCGTTCGTTCGGAGTTCTCTGTCCTGGGTGAGAGCCGGCCTCGGGGCCGGAGGCAGGCGTTGGGGGAGCGGCTAGGCGCCGCACTCTGCGCTACCCCGGAGACAGCACGGACCTGCGCCAGAGGCGAACCTGCAGCTTTCACTGCCCTGCCCCATCCCCTGTTTCCAGGGGTTCAGACCACATTTGAAATCTAAATTTGCAATATGGAACTTCCTATCGAGCCCAAATGCATATTTTGGTTTTGCTTCTCTGCCCCTTTCCATTTGTTCGCTCTTTGCTTTCCATGAGTGTGCTGGAACGGCAGCCCTGGAATCAAGAATTTGGCTCTCCACCGAGCACCTTACCTTGCCACCTTAGCCTTAAGAATGAATATGAAGAAAACTACACAGCCACCTCCGTCCAGGGCAGTAAGAAGGTCTGCAAGGAAGAGGAGGTTGGGGACATGGGAAGGAACAGAGACACTCGGAAAGTGCGGAGGCCCCTGGGGCCCAAGGGGCCCCAGGGAGAGTGGAAGGCGCATCCTGAGAGCTGGGCTTCTGCACCTTGAGCCGGGAGGGTCCGTGGTGCCAGGGGTGTGTCAGGCGGAAGGAGCCACCTCCATTCCCCAATCCTGTCCTTTGCAGGAGGCAAAGGCCTTGGACACCAAGGGACGGCCGGGGGACCCACAGAAACCCCCCATCCTTCACGGGCCACGTGGTCCCCTTCACATGAAGGACAGCTGCTGCCGGTGAGACTGGCCAAGTCACAGAATCAGAAATTGCCTGGGGGAGCCGTGCATTTGCTCTGACCTTTTCGGTCCTTCAGGTCTCTGTAAGATCCCCTGCAAGGGCTCAGTGAGAAGGGGTAGGCTTTGCAGGCTTTGCTTTCCTGTTAGGAACGTGAAGGAAACCCAGCAATTTATTGCCACGTGAACAGCCTACAAAGTAGCTCTGGGAGCAGCCTGTTTGGCCTGACTGCTCAGACCGGGAGGAGGACACGGACCGGAAGAGCTCTTCCACTCCCTGCAGCGTCCTGCCCCCAGTGCAGCGCCGGCCCCCTGGCGCAGCGCCGGCCTGCCGAGGGCATCCATCCCGGTGGGGCTCTCTGAGGCTCACAGGTGACTCCTGCCCTACTTTGCACTCCTCTGTGCTGCTATTGTGGCTCTGAAGGATCTAACGCTCCTGTGTCTTCCGAAGAGGAAAAAAAGACGCGTTTGTTTTGAGCAATAAAGTTATACAAAATGATGGCCATTCATGTACAGCTCTTTGTCGCAGGGGGCTGGATGAGCCGGACACCCCCTCCCACCCCGCTCCCCCTCCCCCTCCCACCTCCCCCACTCCGCTGCCACAATTCCTTCTGCACTTGTTGCCGAGTCCCCCCCAGAGGCAGATTCCCACTCAGTGTCTTCTTTTCATTTTGCTCACTGAGTGGACCACGCGTGGGATAGGAACTGACGGTGGCAGCCCAGATGAGCTCCAGGCACGAATGACACCTGGGAAGACAGGCAGCAGGCGCGCCCCGGCAGAGCCCGAGTGGCCCGTGGGGAGCAGGAGGCCTCGGTAGCTCTAGAGCCGGGTACTTTCCATGTGTCATTACCTAACTCCTCCTTCAGAGGAGGCGGGTCCCAGGTGATCGTACGAACCAGAACTGGAGAGAGTGCGCACACACACACACACAGGTGCTGTGTTGGGGGCGGCCAGCGCCCTGGAGCCCTGGCACTGACCACACCAACTAGAAGACGCAGCATTGTTGTAGCACAGGCCTCTCTTGGTAGGAGGAAGGGGTGCTTAGCTTGGGGTGTGCCCGGGTGGCCCCAGATGTATGTGAAACCATGGATGAGTCACAGCAGACACAGTAGTAGTAAAGGTGACAGGTGCTCACACACTGTACCTTATCCTTTCCAACTGCTGTTGTAGTTCAAGGCTGGGGATGTGAAAGCATTGACCCTGCCCTCTGCCCATTGGGCTGGCCAAACTGCCAGTCGCCAGGGGGTTAGCCAAAGGGGGAAATCCCAGGGGGTTGTACCAGGGACCTCCTTCCTTCCAGGGACTTCAGCTTGCCGGGAGTGTGTGTCCTTTCAGAAGTATGAGCCACACTCTCACGATGTACCAAATGGAGCCCCCACCAAGTGAGTGCTCCCCTGGGAGAGGCTCCCCCCAGAAGCACCAGGGCAGACAGAGGGAGGACCCAGCCAGGATTCACACGGAGGATGTTGTACTCTGAACAAAAACTTCACAAAATGTTACAGTTTTTCCCTACTCATAAAAGTATCCCCAGAAAGAGCCTAATCTACGTTCAGATAGGAGCCTCAAAATTCCCTTCAATTGTTTACTTTTATAATGTTTACATACACATTACACTTAAAGAGAAAAAGAAAAAAAATGCAAACTCTGACTTTTTATCAACTTTTCAGATTTTTCACGGGACAGTGGAACTTTGACTCACCAACTGGATTTCAATCTTACTTTAGAAATGTATTTATTTGTGTCTTTTCTCCCCTCCCGTCCACGTGGCTTCCCCGAGACCCTGGTGAAAGAGGCCCCTCCTACACAGACCCTTGTCCATCCCCCCCTCCCCCCAACCCGTGGCTCTTGCTTCTTGCTTTGCAGATGGCCTGCAGCCATGAACTTGTCACTGGCATCTGTGAGCCAAAGACTGAGCCTTTGTGGCAGGAATAATAAGCAATACTACACAACTTGCTACTTTCAGAAAACTTTTTTAGCTTCACCGATGACAACAGAGGAAGAAGGGAACTGGGATTTGGGTAAGTTCTCTTCCGCTGTTTGACCAAATTCTCAGTGATGCGTGTTGGGTGCAGATCACTAGGAGAAAAAAAGTCGACTTTTTCTTTTGTAGCGGGGCACATAGGATCTGCCGAATTTTATGTAGACAAAGGAAGGGTCTTGTGTATTTTTGTCCATATCCAATGTTATATGAACTAATTGTATTGTTTTATACTGTGACCACAGATATTATGCAATGCACCATTTGTTTTTTATTTCATTAAAGGAAGTTTAATTTAAATTGACATTGTGTGAGGAACGTGATATTGGCCCCGGTCACCCTCTCATCTCCTCTGCTTGAGGGATTATGGCTAAATTCCAGTTGCCACTTTAGCACCTACTGGTCCCATTGAACCCTATGATAGATGGCATTGCAGATTTTCACTAAAGATGAAAGAAGTGGACTTCACAGGATCGCGCTGAGATTCCCACCGAGCAGGAAGGCGAGGGCCAGACCTGGTGGAAGGGAGGTCTCTTGGTCTTTCGGGGAATTCTCCTGACCTCCAAGGGCTCCGTGTCAGGAACGAGAAGCTCGCTGTTGTTCCTCCCTGCAGATCAGGAGACCAACACCGACGTTCTGTGGCCATATTGTGACTGGAAGGAACAGTGTGGCTTTTCTGACTCATGACCCAGTCCTGGGCCAAACCAGCCCAGAAGGTGCTGGCCCCTTGTAGTGCTGCTCCCCCGGCCGCTGGCTTCAGGGGCCTGGACAGGAGGGAGCGTGCAGAGCCCCACTGTCCTGCTGGCATGCCCCATGGACTCTCCCATGGGCCTCACTTGTGTTCTGGGCAGGGGACACCTCAGGTCATGAGGTCCGAGTCCTGGTTGCTACCCTTGCTCGGGGATGGGCTCTGTTCCAGGCATGGCGCAGGTCCTGGCAGTTTATAAATGCACGGTGACCGCTCTGCTGCGGGGAAGGGCCCAGCACTGCACGCCGCAAGGGAGGAGTCTGCTTGAGTCAGAAAGGGGGCACTGTCGGAGCTGGTCTTCAGCAGTCCCCTACCCGCCACTGAACCTGCTCCTGCCTCAGTGTAAGTTGAAAACCCAAACTTGCTTGTGTGCCCACTGTGTCCCCAGGCATTGTGCGAAGGTCAGGGAACCAGCCACTTCCTTGCCCTTAGGGCTTGACACACAGTTTGCCTAAATCTCTTTCCATCTGACTCACACTTCCCCTCCAGGCCCCCGGAAGCCCGTTCTGCTCCTCTGGGAGTAAGCGAGGACCCCTCTGACCGATGCTCTGGCAGACTGAAAAGTGTCGTGCGGAGAGGGACCATTCACCGCTGTGGCCCTGGCGCCCAGCGGTGACCACAGTCAACACTGGGGTTCTTACGGTGTGCTCCACACTTGGACGGGTGCAAGTCACCTCTAGGTGGCAGCAGCAGAAGCTCTCCCGCAGCTCTCCAAGTAACTGGGTCTTCCAGCTCCCAGCCCCTCCACGTCCTCTGGCCCACGGACTGCTGTGCACAGCACACTGTTTTAAAATACAGGTCTTATTCTTCAGGTAGAGCAGGGCCATCAGATCAGCAGGTGGCTGCCATTGAAAAGACAGTTCAGTATGCTCACAGATCCCAAGAGGAGGGCCACCCGGGGAAGCGCCAGGGTCTGTCCGGAGCAGAGGGAGTAAGGGAGCAGCATGGGCACCAATGGCCTTGACTGTGGTCTTTACGGGAAGGAACAAGCGCAGGGAAGCAGACTCAGGACTGACTAGTTTGGAGAATTCCAGCTGGCTCTGGGGTCCCTCGTTATCTGGTCCCTGTCCCTGGGGTGATTTGCACAGGAGACAGTAGTCCTGAGTGTGCACACGCAGCAGAGGAGGGGAAGGAGGTGTGGGCTCAGGTTGGTTGGTCTGCGCAGGAAAGGTGAGCTCGCAGGTGAACTGTTCTTTCCCAAGAACACTGAATTCTTGGGAAAGACTCAGTAAGGGCAAATTGCTTTTTACAAAATGCTGTCGATTTAGGTCCAGACAAAACAACTCTAAAAGGTCAGGGGGATGATTACAGAAACATGGAAGGACTCTGTCCTCCGCTGGCTTCACAAATGCTTTTTTTTTTTTAAATTCTTACTCCATTCTAAAGAAATCAAGCCTGAAATTTGTAGAAAAGACATTACAGGTTTGGTTTATGCAAAAACGGCATAGGAAACCCCAGACAACAGACCCGCACTCAGGAAAACCTGGGCTTGTGTGGAGATTGGGGAATGAGTTTGCATGTATGCGGTTGAGGTAAAGGTAAAAATGTTAGGGTACACAGGAGTACTTTTGTATTCCCCAACTCACTGGACGTTTTCTGTTCATGGGTCAACCAACGGCTCCTAACTGTCAGACAGTGGACGTCTGCCGTCACTGTCCCCATTCTTCTAGTTGAGGAAATTGAGGTTTAGAGAAATTAAATAAGTTGCTCACAGTGTGAACCCAGATCTGATCCCAAAGTCTGTACATGTTCTAAATCTCTCCACCAGCGGCAGGGACAGAGTATGTTAGGCATTCAGTATTTCTTAATAAGATAGATGAGTAAGAACGGGGCCCTGCCCTCGTGAAATTTATGATCTTATAGGAGAGGGAGGCAGGTACATAAATCATTTTATAACATATAATAAGTAAAATTATAGAAGTTCACTGTCATAGCACAGAGAAGGGAGTGGGGAGCCCTACCTAAGGCTCACCTTCCAGAAGGTTCTGGCTCCACATGGTGCCTGCTTGAAAGCCGGAAAGTGAGGCGGAGACGAGACCATTGCTTTGGCAGTGGCGGGGGAGGGTGAGACCACTCAGGAGACGGCTGGAAGGAGGTCCGGTCGTCAGCTTCCAGGATCTCATGGGAGGTGTCAAGAAAGGTCTCACATAGGAGATGCAAACCGAGATTTTAAAATGTTTGAAGGAATGGGCATTTCCCAGGTAGGAATGGGGCGAGGTTCCGAGCAAAGGGCATAGCATTTGCAAAGTTGAAGAGGGAAATGATGGTAGGACATATTCAGAGAAATACAGTGGTTTTGTGTCTGCAGGGTGAGGTGGTAGGAGAGTCCCCTCGAACCAGTTTGTCAAGGCCAAGTCTAAGAGTTTGGACTTGATCCTCTAGAAATATCTGGGGACCCATTGAAAAACTAATCAGGAGCGTGCATGGCTATGTGAGCATTTGAGATTATGCTGGCAGCTGGGGAGGTGGGGACAGGCAAGGCTGCAAGATGAATCCAACTGCGCTAGTCGGGGTGAAAAACCATACTCAACTGTGACAGCAATGGGTAGAAGGAATTCCTAACAGGCATATCTCAGAGATAAGGCGGGTTTGGCTCCAGGCCCTGCAACAAAGCAAGCGTTGCAATAAAGTGATTCCTCATCTTTTTGCTGGTAGAGGGTTTTGCTTTTGATATGTAAAGAATGCAATGTCTGTGAAGTACAATAAAGCAAAGCACCATAAGACGAGGTGTGCCTGCAAAGACTGTAGGAAGAACTGATAGAATTTGATAACTGGATGTGGAGTGTGGAGCCAGCCGTGGGGCTGGGTGGTATCGGTGCCTTCAACCACAGTGGGCAATGCAGTGAGAGAGAAGTAGCAGTTTCAGCTGGAGACTCAAGCCTGAGTTTCCTGCGGGGCCTTCCAGTGGAGATGTTCCACCCCAGCTAGATAAATGGTCCCGAGCTTTGGGGAGAGGCTGGGGTGGAGAAACATATATTTGTGATGGTGTGCAGATGAGGGACCTCAGAGGAGCCAAGGGCTGCCGCCAGAGCCCTGGAGAAGACGACGTCAGGGCTGGGCTGCAAACGAGGGCCCGGCAGGAAGGAGACTCAGAAGGGGGTTCTGACGGGGTGAGGGAAAACCCTGGGGAGTGAGTGGAATCAGAGGAGGAAACAAAGAGTTCTAAGCAGGTTTGTCAATGGCGGGCGATGCCTGGTGTCACAGAAAGACCAAGGCTAGACAAAGCTGAGCTGTGTCCACTGTTGTGACCCTGGACACCTGGATGGGACCAAGCCAGACTGCAGGGGGTTGAAGAGCCAGAGAGTTAGGCAATCCAATGGAACAGAACACTGGGAGACGGAAGTTGGGAGAGGGGAGGGGAGTGGAGGGAGTTTAAAACCAGGGTAAGGGCGTGTCTATTTAGCAGGGTGGGAAGCCCCTGAGCCACTGTGTGGGCCCAGGAAGCCATGAATGGGCACGGTATCTAAGGGGGTAGGAGGACCTAGAGCCCAGGTAAAGGGCGCTTCCTTTCTTCAGGGCCTATTCGGAGCCCCCCATCTTTTTTTTTTTTCTTAATCAGGTCTGGTTGTCCCTTAATCCCTGATAGGAAATTGAAGGAAGAGCCCTTCCCCAGGGAGCATTCGGAAATAGCAGTTGGCCTGGGAATCCCGTGTGTGGCTCGCTCCTCTGCCACCATCCCCATTCCCCACCTCCTGCTCCCCACCCCCTCCCTGGGCCCCCACCTTTGCCTCTCTCTGCCTGTAGGATTCAAGTTCAGGCTCTTCCCCCAGAGGTAGGAAGAGTTGCCACCCACCTGGAGAAACTGTCCAGCCTTGGTTAGCTAATCATCAGCTCCTGGTGAAGCTGGGTCAGTGGGAAGTGAGGGACCTGGGCATTCTTCTCCATCACAGGGCCCAAGTCACACGTGGGTGCACTTGAGGCCTCAGTTTCTCCCTCTGTTCTTTGAGGCAGTTGACAAAGGTCATTTGATCCCTTCCTGTGGCATCACTGGTGTCCCATACGTGTAGACACAAGGCTCAGCCCATACACTTTGGCAAGTCCCAAGCCTGCGGGGCAGCCATGACCCTGGTCTGAATGATAAGAGCTCAAGTAGGGAAAGGCGCAAAATCATGGTCTGCTTCCTGCTGACACACATTCTGCCTTCAGAGAGTCACGAATGGCAAGCTGGAAGGTAGCACAGAAAACACTGACTCCAAGTAAGAAGCAGCCTTAGAATGCAGCTGTGTCCTAGCCACACACTCTTGGCTAGGTGAGTTGATTCCTCTGAGCCTCAGTTTTCTCATCTGCGAATGGGGTGAGCAATGTCTATCACATAGTAATCTGAGGAATCCTGTAAAACTGCACATGTGAAAGTTCTCTGTTTAAATATCGGTAGTTCTCGGGCCTAAATTCCCAGGGTAGGAACGCACAATGGGTGCAATTTCTGATTCTGCAGAGTTAATATTCGAGCATGTCACATCGGAAAAAATTAAAAACATCTCTTTTCATTAATCTTCCAGGACCTTAAATAGGATTTTTCTTTTTCTGTAGTACATTCCTGTGTTGCTTTGTCTAGAATGGGCCCCCTTCCGCCATCTGAGGCAAGAACTACATTCCTTTCAGCTGATACAATGGCAGTGCACCGATTCCCAAGGTAGTAGAATAACGCTCTCTCTCGCTGGCTCTATTTTTTCTTTCTCATTTTTTTTGTTAACAACAGAAAGCTGCTTTCACCCCTAGGAAAAAAGTGCCCTCACTCTGTGCATGTTAAATTCTGGCAGAAATGGAGCCACTAAAACAGAAACAAACAACAAGGGGCAACAGCCGGGAGTGAGAAGTCGCGTGCTATTTACTTGGTTGCGTGCATTTCAGGAATGCAGGGTACTCTGTGTTATGGGGAATGGTTGTCTCTGCAGTCAGTGCTGGTTTCTGAAAGAATTCTCCTTTCAGCGCACTTGGCAGACTATTTATCACTCCTTTTACAGTTTCCGTCACTAAAGAGAGAGAGTCTGTGAAGCCATCTCTTGCATTTGGACTTTGCCATATGACTTGCTTTGATCTGTGAGACGTTAGCAGTCGTGATGCAAGAGGAAGCTTTAAAAAGTACTGATGTGTTTCCCCTAATTCTTGTGGACCCCTAACACCATGAAAACGTGCCCAGGCTACCGTCCTAGAGAAATGTGAGGGGGACCCAAGTCAAGGTCATCCTAGACCATCAGGCTCTTGCCAGCAGATGCATAGGCTTGTGAACAAAAACAAATGTTTGCTGCTCCACGCCACTAAAGTTTTTGTGGTTGTTTGTTACACAGCAATAACTAACTGACACAGTGTGTTTGCCTGAAGTTTTGATGCCTGGGGGCAACCCATGACTTGAACTGAAATGGTGAACAAATCCTTGTACTTCAGGCCACACTGATATTATAGTTAGCAATCTGGAGAGGTAGCTTGAGATCTCCATTCTAGGTAAACTGCCCTTTAATTGTTCCCTAAATACAACCTTCACAGCCCTGTCTCTGCATCTCTGTACACAATTTCCTTTCTCCCTACTGCAGCGTCCTTCCCTCTCTCCTTTGCCTGTGTAAATCACAAGAGATCTCCGAGGACCTACTTAAAACCAGCCTTTTCTGAATGACTGTGGCTGCCCTCTGCCTGCAGTGATCTCTCCAGCTATTAATTCATAGGGTATTTCTCATCAGAACCATAGTTTGGACACCCAACACATGCTCCTCATACGGCTACTATTTCTTATGTACAATTGTTTACTAAACTAGATTCTAAGCTCCTGGTGGGTGGGGCCCATCTTCCCTTTTTTTTTAACCCCCCGGCCCCTTTTCCCATGGTCCTTACATTAGATATTCTCTTTCCTTCCTTCAAATATCTGTATCTCTTTAGTTGCATGTAATATCTTTTAGGGGACCTCACCTAATTTCCCTTGTGTGATAGCTGGGCATGTTCTTTCTTTTGTGCTCACCTCCACCATGCTGCACTGTCACAAACGGGGGTTCCTAGACCAGAGGCCCCACTTTAATTCCATGTGCATCTCTAGCACCTGGTAAGGTGCTGCTCCTTCAGCAGGTGCTCCAGTATTCGGTTCCTACTTTGCCTGTCTCCCCTCTGTGCATTTATGTGAAATGCCCTGATTCAGGCCCTCATCATCGCTCATACAGAAAACTGCAAAAGGCTTGCAAGTGGCCTTATATCCCTTCCTTCCTTGTCTTTCAGCCAGTTAGCAACACGCAATATGAAATTCTTTTTTTTTTTTTTTAGGAAAATCTAGCCAGACCATTCTGCTACAAAACAAAACAGAACAAAACAAAACAAACAAAAACCCCTCTTAACGTCTCCCCCTTTCTATGGGGTGAAAGCCACGTTCTTAGCACGCGCGGCCCACTAAGATCTGCCCAGCCTACCTCTCCAGGCCCTCTCCCTTCACACCAGCCTCCACCTTTACCCCAACAGGGGGTCACGGCCGGTGTGACATTCTTTGTGCTGCACCGTTGCTGCCCAACTGTACCTGGCCCCTTCCTCCCAAATATTTCATTTGACCAGCCCAGCCCATCCTGCCCAGCTGTCCTGCCCACCAACTTCCCCCCATTCCCTTTCAGTTTCAGACTGATCGTGATGGTTTCAAGGTGGCATTCTGGTTGACCAAGTGGCAGTTTGCCGAGAAGCAAGGCTGAGTTGCTAACACCTTTGTAGGAGCACAGCCTCGCACCGCACCCAGAGCATAGAAAGAAGCACTGAAACAGTGTTGGAAGACTGGATGTGTCCAGGGGTCTGCCTGAAGTGGACCAGTTCTCCCTCGACCTGTCTGAATGTAGGCTCGACCGAGGGAACTGGCGTCCTCAGTGAGCTCGCCCCTTGTCTTCTAGGACTAGAATGGGATTAAGTTGGCTAGAGTTCGGCGCCAGCTTCTAGACACTCCCCCATCATCCTTGATGCCCAGGCCCACACTGGGCAAAAGAAGGTTTCCTTAAATGTCAAATGATGGTAGCTTATATATATTGAGCACTTAAACCGGGTACCGGATATCGTATATTGTTCTAAGTGTTTTAAGTAAATTAGTTCATTCAGTTCTCACAGCGATCTTACAGGGTACATGAACTATTTTACAAACGAGGGTTAGAAAAGGTTAATAAACTTTTCTAAGGTTAATAAACTTTTCTAAGGTTGCCTGGCTATTAAACAGAGAATCTGCGTGCAAAGCCGAGCAGCCTGTCCCGAGGGCCTGCCATCGTCACCGTCGCGTATGTCTCCCCAGGTTCACGTTCTGCCACTTCTCAGTCCTTCCCTCTCCCACGCTGGGAGGAGAGGTGGGGGCTAAAAATATATATATTTCTGTTTTATTTTTTAAAAATTTATTGTTTGCTTAAATTCCCATTTGAATACCTGCTGATGCCTATGTGGCCCAGACGAGGCCTATATTTTCTCATTTTTATCTGTGTAAACATATACTTACCCATGAAGATGACTTACATACCCAAATTGGAGCAATTAGCAAAGAACCATGATGCAACCAGTTGGCTTTCTGCAGGCCCTCTCTGTTTCTCAGCGGGCTGGAAACCACTGCTTCCTCTCTGCCTTCACAGTGAGACCATAGCGTTTGTCACTCGGCGTCTGAGCGGCTTCACCGACGCCACCCGGAAAGACCTGTGCTGGTCCGAATGGCACGCATCTCGTGTGTGGCATCTTTCTTTCTCTTTCTGAGTAAGTGCCATTATTCTGCATGTTCCTCTTGTCACTGGGGCTGTTGGGTGATGGAACAGGACAATTTGGTCTCGACATGAAAAACCTGGCCGCATGTCTCTGGTGTTGGCAATGATTCCTGACTCTTGTCTGGGATGCCAGATGCGTGCTGGCTCTGCCTTTCCCCTGCCTTGCTGGGCTAGCCCATCCCCCGAGATAGTAAGGAGCTTAGCTCCCCAGCCTGAGACGTGATCTTAAGGTTTGCCTGATGTCAGAGCTTGACAAGGGAAGTGTGCCTTGGGGATGGAAGGAAAGGTCAGGGAAGCACTTAGTAGTTTGAGGCTAAGCTAAAAGAAGGTTCTGGGCTTCCCCTGGGCTGAAGTAGGAGTTGACTAGTGAGAGCCTGAGAAGGGCCAGGGAGATTCACTTGGCTTTGCTGAGAAGCGTATGCAGGGGCCTCAGCTAGTGCAGGGGCATTTGTGCATGCTGGAACACGAAAGTACGGGGTGGGGGAGGGCGAAATTTGAAGGTAAACGGGAGAATGGGTGAACTGGGCAGGGAATGGCATGGTTCCAGAGCAGCTAAAGCAGGGAGCGGGTACTGTTTTGTGCTGGGGGCACCTTCACCATCTGGTAAAGCCCGCAGACCCATCTCAGAATAATTTCTTAAGTGCATAAAATAAAATACAAAGGATTATGGGGGAATCAGTCATATTGAAATGCAGGCATCAAAATATTTTTAAATAGTTGGTGATGTAGTCATTTATTTGTTTCTTTACACATTCCATAACAACCTACAGATGGTCTGTTAACCACCAAATTCAAAGCAGTAATGAACAGGAACAGCATTTCAAGATACCTGCAGCAAGTGTGATGTGATGTGAAAATATTTATGGTGTGTTTCTACATTCATGACTGAAGGAAATACTAAATTTCCAGGAAGATCAGTGAAAATATAAGAGTAGGGTTTTTTTCCCCTCCGCCCAGGTTTATGGCCCCTTTAATCCCATGTGTGGACCAGGCTGAGGGCTGCTTTACAGAGACGGGACTGGGTGAGCGCAGGGGTTTGAATGACTGGAGGGAGCCCCAGCGGAACTAGAGCAAATTACAGCCGGTGTGACCAGGGCTGTGGCTAAGCTCAAAAAGCATGCAGTGTTCAGCCAAGGAGGTACCTAATAGACATTGGCTTGAGTTCAGCCGGGCTCATGATGCAAGGGACATTGGGTAATGTGAGTCGAGGGTCAGATCCGGGCTGGACCGGTTGAGAGGTGGCCTGGTGGAAAATCACTAGGACTACGTGCTGGGTGATCGGTGTCCACTGAACCGGCCTGGGAGGTGTTGATGGCTAGTGGGGGAGGGCTTGCAGGGGAGGGCTCTTGGGGACCGTTGGCGAATGGGGCCCTGTTTGTGCTGTTCAGCTGTCTGAGTGTGATGCTCTAGTCGCAGGGGTGCCCAACTTTTTACATCTCTGGGCCACACTAGAAGAAGAGTTGTCTTGAGCACACATTAAATACACTAATACTAATGAAAACTAAGGAGCAAAAAAAGGGTTTTAAGTAAATTTACAATTTTGTGTTGGGCTGCATTCATAGTCGTCCTGGGCCGCATGCGGCCTGCGGGTGGCAGGTTGGACACCCCTGCGAGTGTATGCGCTTTGTCAGTTTGGGGCATGTGTTTGGCCTGTACGTAGGGGGAAGCTGGGCTTATATTGGGCAAGTCAGACAATTACAGATTCTCTCTCTGTCTCTGTCTCTGTCTGTCTGTCTGTCTGTCTCCCTCTCTCTCTGAGCATGCTGGAAGTTCTGGGGAAAGAAAGTAGTAACCACAGTTCAAAAAGTTCAGAAATACTAGCATCTTTTCTTTAATCCACTTAAACAATGGCCTACTCTGGGTTATATACAGGGTCTGGCAGAAATAATGCCTGCTTGAGTGTAGGTGGTAGGGTAATAATACAAGTGTAATAATTTATAGTTTTAATTTGAACATTTCACCTACAATATCATAGGGTGTGCTTGAGTGTGATACTGTCCTGTTACAGAAGCACACGCTTATGATTTTGTAATAAAAACGGGGCATTATTTTGGTGCTGGACTGTATATTTCCTTCTTCTAAATTCTGACTCATCCTCACCGCTGATTGTGTATAGAACCACAGTTTTTATGTGAAGAACACTTAAATCAGGAAGTAACTTGAAAAAACTTCAGAAGCCTGCTATTGGTCATCACGGATATTGAGGGGTGAATGAAAGGAATTAGGTGATGACAAATTGATTGATTGCATCATTTAGCAAAGATGTGCTTTGTCCTAATTTATTTATATTTTTGTAAACATGAATCCTGTTGTATTGTGCTAGATGAGGTCAGTATCACGGGTGAATGAGCTCCTGGATCTAGCCCATAGTTTTGCATACTTGATCTGTCACCCCTCACCCTAACTACATGCCCTACAAATAAAAGCCATTAACATGGGAGGGTCCTGGGGTGGGGATATTGGTTGTTTTACTGAAACTGTAGTCATGAAAAAAAATCCACAGAATTATGGGTGGAAGTTCTCCCAGCCTTCACGCGTATAGGTTTTTGTATGTGTAAAGAAAAGAAGGGTATGTTCTCTAGACAGGATTGCTATTAGGTGGAATCATTTGAAGTTGCTGTTTTTGTTTATCGGAAATGGTCAAATATGAGCCACTTTCTGTGGTTCAACCTAAAGGCTTCCATTCAAAGAATACTGGAATGGCAAATTTGGCTGTTCCAGTGATTGTTTTGAAAAAGCCAACACTGTTGAGGAATTCTTCTCGTTTCAAATGTATGAGTCCGATGTGGTGTGTCGGCACCACGCTGTGTGCCCATCAGTCAGTGAGACCCGCAGCTGCTGTGCAAGGGAATCTGACTGCTCCATCAAAAGAGGAAGCAATGGGACAGTCCTCCGAGGTATTTTGTTCTTTAGGAGGAGGAGGAACATGTACCGCACACCCCACAGAGAATATATTTGAAATCAAGTGCTTCCGCGTATGATTGCAACGCATAGACATTTCAATTGGTCTCTTTATTCCTTCCAACTTCAAAAATACCCGTGAAACCTCTACGCAATGTCTTCTGCTTTTCTGAGAAAGCGGTACCATCCCAGTCGTGGTCTTGACCTCACACCTCTACAGGAACTTACTTCATCCTTTCTCCGTCATCATCCGTCTCTCAATGGTCCCTGCGTCCAGCCTGACCCTCAGTGCTGCTCCCTACCCAGCACTGAGTAGGTGCTCAGTCCACCACGACTCTCCAGCTGCCATCTTATTCCTCTTCTTCCCTTCTCCATGAACCTTCTTGAAGGACCATATTTTTCTGTGTATAATGCACACTTTTTGCCCACATTTTTGAGGGAAAAATAAGGATGCACATTATACCCAGGAATTAGTACTGAAACGTGGGTGTGCATTATACATGGAAAAATACGGTAGTTTACACTTCCTCTGTTGGCTTGTGACCCTTGAAATCTGCTGCTTCTGCTTGACAGAAATCTCTTCTACAAAGGTCTCCACTGACACCCTCATCATTACACTGAAATGCTTTGCTTTCCCTTTAGACTCCTCAGCCTCAGCGGCAGTCCGCAGGGCTGACGAGCCCTTCCTTATTGGAGCGTTTTGCCTCCTTTGGTTTCCAAGTCACTGTCCTGGCTGCCCTTTCATCTCCCTAACTCCCTTCAATAGACCTTGTTCTTCATCTAACCCCCTAAATAAAGAGATTTTCTAGTAGTCTCTCTTTAGCCCTCTTCCTTATATTCCCTAACACTTCCCACTATTACTATGTAACCGGCTTAATTTGTATCCCTAGCCCAGAGCTCTCCCTAGCTACAAACAAGCACTTACGCGAAGGCATGAGAAACCACAGAGACAGCCAGAGATTTGGCATTTGCAAATCTAGCTTCAACTGTGGCTCAAATGTTTACAAGTTTTGACATTGCTAAATATGGAATTATCATAGAGTTCTTGAAAGGATGAAAATATATGTATTTTCAAAGGGTTGAAGACTTTAAAGCACCGATATACATATTTAAATGTTTCCGAATATTTGATAGATATCTTTCCTGTTTAGTCCATGAATGATCAAATTTAGTATTTCTGAGACTAATTGCATTATCTTCTTCCTCACCTTTGAACACACAACAGTAACTCTTCCTGATGTCCTTATTTCTGTTACACAGCACCACTTTCCTCCCAGTCACCCTCACAAAACCTGGGCATTATCTTGTATTTCCTCCTACCTTCCACCCCCTCCTTTCACTCTATCACCTCCAAGCACCCAAGACCCTGAAAAAGTAGATTTTATCACCACAGTGGCTTCTATTGTCTTGGTCAAAAAGTTCGTTGGTTTTTTTCTGTAAGATGGCTCTAGTACTGCTTCATTGTCTTTAACTTCATTTGAAACAATTTTGTTAGATTGTGTTGTGACAGCTGTCATATCAGAGTGCACTTTTTACAAAAAACATCACAATTGGTGAGTTTTTGTGTAGCCATTTTAATACTGAAGATTGAAGAAAATACGTAACATTTTCGGGATATTATGCTTTATTATTTCAAGAGAGGTAAAAACACAACTGAAATGTAAAACAGGATTTGTGCAATGTATGGAGAAGGTGCCGTGACTGATCGAATATGTCGAAAATGGTTTGTGAAGTTCCATGCTAGAGATTCCTCACTGGATGATACTCTACACTCAGGTAGACCAGTTGAAGTTGATAATGATCGAATTGAGACATTAATTGAGAACAATCAGTGTTATACCATGCAGGAGATAGCTGACATACTCAAAATATCCAAATTAATAAAGTTATTGGTGAAAGTGAAAAATGTGTCTTTTATTTTACAGAAAAAAACTAAACCAATTTTTTGGCCAATTCAATAAATCGTCGTCCCTTTCTTGCCATTCCTATTGCCTTTGTCACTTCTCTCCTGGGCTGCAATAATGAACTCATATCTGTTTCCAATTTCCATCATCCTACATGCAACCATCAGGTTCATTTCCCTAAGACCTTTCAAACACTTCCAGTGGATTTCCCATGGCCTAATCAATCAAGTTCAGACATTTAATCATGAAAGTCAAGTCCTTCGTGTTCTGGACTCAAATGTCCTACCTAGTCTTACCTTCTTCTGTTAATTAATCTTCATGTGGTCCGTCCCCTAATCTAACTGATTACTCCCTATTTCCTTTAACAGGTCTTTTGATTCCCACTCATTCAGTCTCTTTGGTGAAGTCGGGTTACCTAAGAGACCCTGTCTCCCCACTTAAATTGTCACAGTCTTTTCAATTCCCTAAAGTCCATTTCTAACATTGTCTCTTTTATAAACCTGACCTATTTCCCTCCTCAAAAAATATAATCTCTTCTTGCTTCAAATTCCTAAAAGCATTTTTATCGTATCTCTCTATGAGGACTATTACCCTACTTGACCAAAATATAAAATTAATAAGTCAGAGATGATCTCAAACTCATCTTTGTATCTTGGTTCCTGAAGCATCAGAAATACTGTTAGTGGTTGAATAAATACTTATTGAATTAGCAAATAAAGCCGGAGAAAAGGAAATGCTAGTTTTCACAATAAAGTGTTCTCAGTGCGGTATACCCATCTCTCTGAAAAGCCACGCAAAATGTTGGTGTTTCCTAGCTACCAAAAATAATGTGGTGGAAACATGCCCTGATATAAACAGGTTAGCGGTACCTCAGAAACCATATTTTTTAAAGACATTTTTATTGTGAAATATGACACAAAAGATAAGTTAGTGGAACATAAATGTGCAGTTGAACAAATAAGTGAAGAGTAAAGTCTGTGTAATGACTATCCAGGTCAAGAAATGGGTAGAATGTTGCTAGGACTCTACAGCACCCACCATCCTGCCATGCACCCCCTCTAGATCAAGGTTCCGCACCCCACGCACCGTCACTTTTCTGACTCACGGTAACCACTTCCTAGCTTTTCTTTCTCTCTTTAATTTTTTTTTTTGCCCAGTATGTTTGTATCACTAAATAATACAGCATAGTTTTACCTGTTTTAAAACTTTATAAAGAGTAGAATCATTCTCTGTACAGTTGAAAAGATTCAAAAGTATTTTGCATCTTTTATTAAACATGGTTATTCATATTATTGCAACTAGTTGCATTTATCCACTTTAACTTCTGTTTTTAATCCTCACTCAAGGATATGTTTATTGATTTTAGAGAGAGAGGAAGGGGGAGAGAGAAAGAGAAACACCCATCAGTTGCCTCCTGTACCCACAACCTAGATATGTGTTCTGACTGGGAATTGAACCTGCAACCTTTTGTTGTACAGGGTGATGCTCCAACCAACTGAGCCACCTGGCAAGGGCCATCCACTTTCATCCCTGTATGATATTCCAGTTCATGTATGCACTGAGTTCACCTGTTCTACTGTTGATGGACACATGGGTGTCTCTAGTTTGCGGCTGTAATGAACAGGACAGTGGTGGACGTTCTTTCATGGGCAGCCTGGTGCATAGGGCACAGGGTTCTCTAAGATACAGGTGTAGGGCTGGTGGGCTTTGTCAAAGGTGTTCCCAAATGCCTTTCTAGTGGAACTTTTTTTGGTAAGCAGTAATTTAAAATTTTCTCCTGGCTGGCATAGCTCAGTGGATTGAGTGCGGGCTGCGAACCAAAGTGTCGCAGGTTTGATTCCCAGCCAGGGTACATGCCTGGGTTGCAGGCCATGACCCCCAGCAACCGCACATTGATGCTTCCCTCTCTCTCTCTATCTCCCTCCCTTCCCTCTCTAAAAATAAATAAATAAATAATTAAAAAGCAAATTTCTCAGTTGGTCTAACTTCTTTTTCTAGGCATAATACAAATATAAAATAAATAGAAAATTGAAATTTATGAATAAATTAGTGTATTTTAAATTAGTACCAGAAATGTGTGTGGTTGGCTGATTGGTCGGTTGGATGTTTGTGTGAGTTTTGCATTGAGCATGTATATGCGGTTTGCAGGTGACTGTATCACGTGACCACTTACCCTCTCTGCCCACTTTTTGAGGCTCCTTCTATCAGAATTGTTTTCATTCCAGAATTTCTATCCTCAGCCTTAACATGGTCTTGGTAATGTCATTTTTCCTCTCTCACTTTCTTCCCCTTCAGTCTCCTCCACTCTTTGTCCTGTAGAGTCATAAGATTCGACAGATGCTCTGCTTCTTTCATATCTTCTTATAACCCAAATTCTGTTCATTCCTTCAGACCAGCTCTCCCAACCTGTGACCTCTCCTGCTGTCTCTCCACCTTCCCCTCCCGCTGGCCCTTGGCCCTGGGGAAGGATCTAGCTCACCCTGTGGCATCTCTGTCATCTGGTCTTTGTTCATTCTGTAATACAAACTAGCCTTTAAAATGACCATAATAAATAAACATTTTAATTTCTGCGAAATGCTTGGTTTTGAAAATATGTATATCAGAGAACATGTTTCTATTGGCAGTGAAACAGCGCCAGAACATTATGTTCGATTAAGCCTCGGTTCAGAAACCTCGGTGCTTGAGTACTGGTTAAGAAAGAATTCAAAGGCAAGACTCAAACTATAAGAGAAAGTTTATTTAGAAAGTCACAGAGGTAGAAGAAATGAGCTGTAGGAGAAATGGCTCAGGAAGCAAGTTACAGAGGCAAAAGAAGGGCCCTTGGAACTTGGGGGGTGGTGTAGGGGTCAGTGAGGGGAAAAGGGAGGGAGAGAGAGAGCCAGAGAGCCGCTGGGTCCTTCATCCTAAGGGCTTTTAGAGATGGGGATCTTAGGGGAGGTCCCAGAGGAGGTCCTCAATAGAATATTCATCAGCTTCCCAGGTGTGTCCTTTCAGGGTCATGGTCTCCACTGATAGGTCAGCACCAGGGCAGGGGTTCATTAGTCAATGTAGCTGGTCCTGTTGTCAGCCATGGTGTTGCCCTGCCTGGCCTTGCTGCTTTTCTGGCCCTGGAACTGAAACATGGCTGAGGTCTAGATGTTATCTCTAGGGTTTATTGCTTGAGGAAGTGGTCATGCAAGGGCATTTGTATAAGGCTATTTTTTGGTCCTCTTGTCTTTCCTCTAAAGGGGTCTACCATTTGATTGTTGATATGAAAGTTCAGCTGATATGACACATCAGCCCAAGACTAGCAATACGATAAGGGAGGAAAGGTCACCCTGGGGGCGAGGTCCCACCCTACAGTTGTCCGTTGCTAGGCCCCCAGGGCTTTCCATCCTGGTGACCTTTCAGTACCTGGCCCATCATTCCTACTGGACTCATACCTGTCTAACTTCCCACCACATTATCATTTAATAATGGTTCCTCCTTTAAATCTAATACATGAGGTTTGTCCCAAAAGGAAACATTCCATAGTGGTCCCAACTAAAAACTAGGGGTAAGGGAAGAACTAAAATAAATTTTGATTCCAGATCCTGTTGGACTTGACTGTCATCTTTATGAAGCTTTTCAATAAAGCTGTAGTGGCTCTTTTAAAAATTACAAAACAAAAATCACTCCTTAGTATAGAAAGGAAGTACCACTGTCTCTTCAGATGCTAATTTTAGCTGACGTTACATCAGATGTGGCCAAGGGCTGCAAATAGTTCCAACCAACCCACAGGCGAAAGCGTAGTCCCCTGGGCAGCACTGGAGACTTTTGATCACTTCTATGAGAAAAGCTACCTAAGACTTTGAGGCTTAAAGAAGTGCCCGCTGAGTTTTCCCAAAAACTAATGGAAAGGTGAATCATCATACATCATATTTACTTTAAAATAAGTGCACTTGGATAAGCAGATATGTGTCGTGGTAGAGACCATGTTACGTGGATGAAGCTAGACTTGTTTTTAAGAGACTAGAGATTACAATGGAAGTTAAAGTTATAAAAGAACAATTACCTCATCAAGCCTTTCTTCTGCTCCTTGGCCTGGAGAAGGTGTTGAACATTTGGGTTGATTATAGTTAATAACCCACGATCTCATTTACTAGAATTGTAATACAGGGAGCTGCAGAAGGTGGCACATTGGGAACTGGGACACTAATCTATTTTTATTCCCCTTTCTTTCTCCTACTTGCAAGCTAAGCTCAGCATTGGCCAGAGACAAGTAACAGTTCAGAAAGGACCACTGTTTAGAGCTGAAGGCTACCCCATCAGCATTGGCTGCAATGTCACTGGCTACCAGGGACCTTCTGAGCAGCATTTCCAGTGGTCTATTTACCTGCCAACAGCTCCAGACCAAGAAATCCAGATCATTAGCACCAAAGATGCCGCCTTCTCTTATGCGAAGTATGCAGGACGCGTGCAAAGCAGGGACATCTACGTGGAGAGGGTCCAAGGCAACTCAGTCTTGTTGCACATCTCAAAGCTCCAGGTGAAGGATTCTGGGGAATATGAGTGTCACACCCCGAACACCGATCAAGAATACTATGGGAGTTACAGTGCGAAGACTACTCTCAACGGTAAGCCGTTTGCCCTCCTCTGCTAGCCCACCCAAGAGGGAGACCCCCCATCCTCATAATACCTGGCGCTGTGACACGGCTTTGTATTGTGCTGTTTGCTTTGGCATAAGATCCCACGTTTCCCTCTGGATAGTTTGGAGATTTGTCACAAGGAGGTATTTCTTGTTTTCTAACATTCTCAATTTTTCCAATCAACATTGCCATGAAGATTGAGATAGGGTGTTATCTTCCCAAGGCCGTGTCTTCAGCTACCCATAGATGGATAATAACAACAGCATCAGTCAAAGCTTTGAGAGTTCTCACCCTGTTGTGTCTCCTCTTGGAGGCAGAACTTTCACTGGATAAGAGCTGGTATTGATATGACAGGTGGTAGGTCATTAACTTGGAAATGCTTCTTTTCAAACTACCATTCTCTAGCATATTTACCTGAAGGGAGAGGGTAACAGTTCTTCAGTTACCATCTTGTCCCTTTGCCTGTAATATCTTACCACTCCCTTTTCAACCTAGCAAACTCCTACGTATACGTCAAAACGCAGTATAGATATTACCTCTGCTGTGGAACCTGTCCTGACTGCCTTGGGCACTTTTCCAATCTTTGTTTCCTCTTGATGCTCTACTCACACCACTAATACTAGCACTCACCCATTTATGTGGTGATTTATGTGGTAAATGAGCCTCTCATACCTCACCCTGAGCTCCAGGAGAAGGGAATGTTTATCTCAGCTCTTTGCACAGGGGCTAGCCCTGAGTAGATGCTCAGTCAATATTCCCTGATTGAATCTAAGCATTGCCTTCCCCCAAGTTCAGGCTGTGTGACTTCCTGGAGAGAACAATAAGGTTGTAGGACAGTTATCAAAACTTTTGGCCCTGGCTGGTGTAGCTCAGTGGATTGAGCACGGGCCTGTGAACATAAGGGTCTCCAGTTCAAGTCCCAGTCAGGGCACATGCCTGGGTTGTGGGCCAGGTTCCCCAGTGCGGGGCATGCAAGAGGCAACCACACATTGATGTTTCTATCCCTCTCTTTCTCCTTCCCTTCCCCTCTTTTTAAAAATAAATAAATAAAATCTTTTAAAAAAACTTTTGTAAGGTTGCATTTTGGCTCTGAATGGCAGATAATGACAGATTGCCTCAGAATTTTATTTTATAAAGGCCCAAGAAAGTGGCGTGACTTGCTCCAGTTCATATAGTCAAATAGAGACAGATTTAGGGTCAGAATGTAGGTCATCTAGCTCCCTGGGGCTTTTCCCCTTTGAAAGCTCTGTGTCCAAGTAGCGAAATTGGTCACAGCTCATGCTAAACATGTAAAGTCGGGGTCAGCACGTCAGTGAGCCATCGGCTTTGCTGCGTTCCATCGGCTGCATGTGCACGGATGCTGACGCTTGCGTCGGCAATAGGGACCCTGGGCTACTGGAAAAGAAACTTGAAGCGTGTATTTAGAGACGAAGGGTCAGGGCACCATCTTCGTCTAAGGAGGCCAGTCTGATCGATGTGGGGCCAACCGAGTCTCATCATTTCTTCACTTCCAGTGATTCCAGACACCCTCTCTGCCGCCATGAGTCCCCAGACCCTCAGGAAGGAGGAAGGTGAGCCGTTGGAACTTACCTGCGAGGCAGCCAAAGCCACCGCTCAGCACACCCACCTCTCTGTCACCTGGTACCTGATGCGGGATGGACACAGCCCAGCCACCGAGATTATTTCCCTCTCCAGAGATTTCATGGTGATGCCCGGCCCCTCGTACACAGAGAGGTTCAAGGTTGGTGACGTGCGGCTCGACAAGCTTGGGGCCGCCACCTTCCGGCTGTCCGTGGGGAGCCTGCGGCCCTCGGACCAGGGCCGGCTCTTCTGTGAGGCGACTGAATGGATTCAGGACCCGGACGAGACCTGGACTGCCATCACGAAAAAGCAGACAGAGCAAACCACGCTGAGGATCCAGCCGGCAGGTAACGATCTCAGAAAATTCATTGATTTTGCTGGTAGTAGTTACTTACGGGATAACTTGTTGTTTTTGTCCAGTCTTTTGTTGAATCTGAAAAAAATTGTTTAGGGAGCTTGAGTAAATTTTCCTTTTGACATCTGGGAAGTGTAAGTAAAAGAGAGACATTGAGGTTTTTTTAAAAATTGTTTATGTTAGCCCTGGCTGGCGTAGGTCAGTGGATTGAGCACGGGCTGGGAACTAAAGTGTCCCAGGTTCAATTTCCCAGCCAGGGTACATGCCTGGGTTGCAGGCCATAACCCCCAGCAACTGCACATTGATGTTTCTCTCTCTCTCTCTCTCTCCCTCCCTCCTCCCTTCCCTCCCTAAAAATGGATGAATAAAATTTAAAAAAAAAGAAGAAAATTGAGTGCATTTATTTTAAAAAAATTGTTTATGTTATTACAATTGTCCCGATTTTCCCCCTTGTGCCCCCCTCCCCCAGGCCCCCCTTCCCACAGTAAACCCCACACCGTTGTCCATATCCATGGGTGGTGCATGTAAGACATTCAGTTTTCGGCTCTGTCCACAGGAGGGATTGTGGGGGCTGACCTGTGGAACAGTTCAGCAGATCCCACAAGACAGGCTGTATGCTCTGCCTGAGGTCACCCAGCCGCTGAGGGGTGGAGCTGGCCTTTGAGGACAGCTGTGTCCCTCAGACACCCGGGCCTCAGAATAACTGTAGTGTCCAGTGTGACATCTCATCTCAGTCAGTGATGGGATTTCCTTTCACCCGACCCCTTTTCAACTTGCAGTGGTGTCACTCTTCATGATCCATTGGCATTGCCATCAGAATTCGGCTGTAATTCTAGGTCTCTCTAAACAGGCTTGGTGCAGTAAGAGCAGCTCACTAAAGCCATTTATATCCATGCTGACAGTGGTGATCCAATGGATGACCATTGGAGGTTTCCTTCCTTCCTTCCTTCCTTCCTTCCTCCCTTCCTTCCTTCCTCCCTTTCTTTCCTTCTTTCCTTCCTCCTCTTCCTTCCTCCCCTTCCTTCCTTCCTTCCTTCCTTCCTCCCTTCCTTCCTTCCTCCCTTTCCTTCCTTCTTTCCTTCCTCCCCTTCCTTCCTTCCCTTCCTTCCTTCCTTCCTTCCTTCCTTCCTTCCTTCCTTCCTTCCTCCCTTCCTTCCTTCCTCCCTTTCTTTCCTTCTTTCCTTCCTCCTCTTCCTTCCTCCCCTTCCTTCCTCCCTCCCCCTTCCTTCCTTCCTTCCTTCCTTCCTCCCCCTTCCTTCCTTCCTTCCTTCCTCCCCTTCCTTCCTTCCTTCCTTCCTTCCTTCCTTCCTTCCTTCCTTCCTTCTTTCTTTCTTTCCTTCCTCCTCTTCCTTCCTCCCCTTCCTTCCTTCCTTCCTTCCTTCCTTCCTTCCTTCCTTCCTTCCTTCTTTCTTTCTTTCTTTCTTTCTTTCCTTCCTTCCTTTCCTTTTTAAAGCAAGAGTGTTATTCTATTCCACTAACAATCATCCTGTTGGTGCCCTGGCCAGTGTGGCTTGGTTGGTTAGAGCATCATCCCATAACCGAAAGGTTGTAGGTTCAATTTCTGGTCTGATCGTATATTTATGTTGCAGGTTTGACCGCCCCCAGCCTCCCACCCCGTCCAGGGGAGGACCATCCCCTCTTCGGGCATGTATGAGAGGCAACCAATTAGTGCATCTCTTGCACATTGGTGTTTCTCTCTGCCCCTCCATCTTTCTCTAAAACGCAACGAAAAACCGTCCTCAGATGAGAATTTTTAAAAAATTGTCCTATTGGCCTCAAGTGTCCAATTTATAATCAGCGAGCCCTAAGGGGACATATCAGATATGCTTTTATTTCTCCTCTTTGGAAACAATTGTTTTAAATGTAAAACAGTCTGTATTTTTCTTTAATTATTTTGATAAGTAAAAATTATATGTGTATATTTAAGGTGTACAACATGATGTTTTAACATATGTGTTCATTGTGAAGTGATTACCACAGTCAAGCTAATTAACATACTCACCCCTCACAGAATTACTTTGTGTTTGTGTGTGAGTGTGTGTGTGTGCGCGTGTGGTGAGGACGCTTAAGATCAACTCCTTCAGCAGACTTCTTTTTTTAAAATATATTTATTGATTATGCTATTACAGTTCACCTAGTATTTTCCCCTTTGCTCCCCTGTACCTGGTACCCCCATTGCCTCCGGCAATCCTCCCCTCAATTCATATCCATGGGTTGTACATGTAAGTTCTTCGGCATCTCCATCTCCTACACTGTTCTTTACCGCCCCCTGTCTATGTTGTACCTACCATTTATGCTTCTTATTCCATGCACCTTTTCCGACATTCTCCCTCTTCGCCCTCCCAGCTGATAACCCTCCATGATCTCCTACCTATTATTCTGTTCCTGTTCTGGCTGTTTGCATGTTTTGTTTTGTTTTGTTTTGTTTTAGATTCAGTTGTTGATACTTGTAAATTTTTTCCCATTTTAATGTTCATAGTTTTGATCTTTTTCTTAAATAAGTCCCTTTAACATTTCATATAATAATGGCTTGGTGATGATGAACTCCTTTTGCTTTACCTTGTCTGGGAAGCACTTTCTCTGCCCTTCCATTCTAAATGATTGCTTTGCTGGGTAGAGTCATCTTACGTTATAGACCCTTGCTTTTCATCACTTTGAATACTTCTTGCCAGTTCCTTCTTGCCTGCAAGGTTTCTTCTGAGAAATCAGCTGACAGTCTTATGGGAACTCCTTTGTAGGTAACTGTCTCCTTTTCTCTTGCCACTTTTAAGATTCTCTCTTTGTCTTTAACATTTGGTATTTTAATTATGATGTGTCTTAGTGTGGTTCTCTTTGCATTCAACTTGTTTGGGGCTCCCTGTGCTTCCATTGTCTATTTCCTTCACAAAATTAGGGAAGTTTTCTTTCATTATTTTTTCAAATAGATTTCCAGTTTCTTGCTCTTTCTCTTTTCCTTCTGGCCCCCTATGATTCAGATGTTGGTACATTTGGAGATGTCCCAGAGGCTTCTTATTCTATCCTCATTTTTTTAAATTATTTTTTCTTTTTGCTATTCTGATTAAATGCTTTGTTTCTTCCTTATTTCCAAATTGTTGATTTGACTCTAAGTGTCATGCCCTCCATTGTTGGTTCCCTGTAGATTTTTCTTTATTTCATTTAATGTAACCTTCATTTCTGCCCAGGTCTTTTTTATGCTGTTGCCATACTCAATGAGTTTTTTGAACATCCTATAACCAATGTTTTCAACTCTGCATCTGATAGGTTGGTTATCTCCATGTTGTTTAATTCTTTTTTTTTTTTTTTAGTTTTGTTCTGCCCTTCAATTGGGCCATATTTCTTTGTCTCCTCAATTTGGCAGCCTCCCTGTGTTTGTCTCTGTGTATTGGATAGAGCTGCTTTGAGTCCCTGTCTCAGTAGTGTGGCCTATTGTAGAAGGCACCTGTAAATTGTGTGGCACAGAGCCTTAGGTGATCGCTAGGGCAGGGCAATCCGTTTCACTACTTTGTGGTTCTGTTGAGGGGCGGGGGAGCTTCAAGAGGAGACAGTGCTGCTGCCTAGCTTCTGGAGTTGTGCCCAGGAGAAAGCTGTCTCCTGGCATTCACCCAGTTTCCAGTCACTTCACTTTCTCCCTGTATGCCACTTGTGCTCTTCCGGCTGTTGCCCTGGTGCTGATTCCAGAGGGGGTGGATCTGCATAAGTCCTAAGTCAATGTGAGTGCTTTAAGAGGAATCCCTGATAATCCTACAGTCTCTTCCTCTGCCCCAGTCCCCACTAGCTTTTACAGCCAGAAGTTATAGGGTTTTATCTTCCTGGAACTGGAACTCTAGGCTGCTGGGTAGTCTGTCTGGGGGCTTGGCTCCCTTGTTCCCAAGGTATCCCTCCCAGTTTTTATCCACCACACATGAATATGGGACCACCCATTCTGCCACCTTTCTGGGCCACTCCTGGGGCCCCAGGCTTCTCCGTGTCTCTACCCCCCTACCCATCTAGATGAATGTGGCTTCTTTATATCTTTGGTTGTCAGACTTCCACACAGCTCAATTTTCTGACAGTCCAGGGATCACCTCTTTGTTTTGTAGTCTAGTTGTCATTTTTTCTGTAGTTGTGCAAGGTGCAAAGATGTGTTTGCTTATGCCTCCATCTGGACCAGAAGTCCTTTAGCAAATTTCAAGTGTACAATACAGTATAAATAACTGTAGTCACCGCGCTGTACATTGGATCTCCAGAATTTATTCATCCTGCATAACGGAAGCTTTGTACCCTTAGACCAACATCTCCCCATTTTTCCCCTCCCCCACGCCCCTGGCAGCCACCATTCTATGTTCTGCTTCTATGAGTGCAATGTTTTTAGAATCCACATATAAGGACCCGTGAGATCCTGCAGAATTTGTCTTTTTGTGTCTGGCTTATGCCACTTAGCATAATGTCCTCTAGGTTGATTCATGTTGAAAATGGTAGAATATCCTTTTTTTCATTGCTGAGTAACACTCCATTGTGAATATATGCTACATGTTCTTCATCTGTTCATCTATAAACAGACACTTAGGTTGTCAACATATCTTGCGTGTTATGAATAGTGAACATGGAGGTGTAGATATCTCTTCCAGACACTGATTCCGTTTTCTTTGGCTATATATCCAGATGTGATACTCTTTGATTGCTAATTTTTAATTTTTTAGGGACTTCCATACTGTTTTCTATAATGGCCATACCAATTTATATTCCCACCAACAGTGAACAAGGGTTCCCTTTTCTCCACATTCTCACCAACACTTGTTATCTTTGTCAACCCTTATAATAGATGTGAGGTGCTTTCTCATGGTTTTAATTTGCATTTCCCTAATGACTAGTGATGTTGTGCATCTTTTCATATACTTGTTGGCCACTTGTATGGAATGTCAATTCAGGTCCTTTGCCCATTTTAAAAAATCAAATAATTTGTTTTCTTACTTATATGTCTGGGGTATTAACTCCTTATCAGATATATAGTTTGCAAATATTTTCTTCCATTTTGGAGACTGTCTTTTCACTCCGTTGATTATTTATTTTGCTATGCACAAGTGTTTTAGTGTGATGCAGTCTCACTTGTCTATTTTTTGCATTTTGCTGTCTGTGCATTTAGGGGTCAAAAATTATTGCCCAAAATTAATGTTGGGAAACTTTTCCCTTCATTTTCTTCTAGCAGTTTTATAGTTTCAGGTCTTGTGTTTAAATCTTTACTACATTTTGAGTTGACACTTAAATATGGTGTAAGATAAGGGTCCAATGTCATTCTTCTGCATGTAGATATCCAGTTTTCTCAACACCTGTTATTAAAGAAACTGTCTTTTCCCCATTTTATGTTCTTGGAACTCTTATTAGAGATCCATTGATGTAAATGTGTAGATTTATTTCAGGGCTCTGTTCTCTGTTCCATTTGTGTATATGTCTATTTTTACAGTAGGACCATCCTATTTTGATTACTGCAGCTTTGTAATATTTTTTAAAATTGGTAAGTGTGATACCTCCAGCTTTGTTCTTGCTTAAAATTGCTTTGGCTATTCAAGGTCTTTTGTGGTTCTCTGTGAATTTTATGACCATTTTTTTTTTCTATCTCTGTTTAAAAAGAAGCCATTAGAATTTTGATAGGGATTGCATTGACCATCATATTGCTTTGGGTCATGTGGACATGACAATTTGACAATATTAATTCTCCCAACACAGGCTATCTTTCCATTTATTTGTGTCTTCTATTTCTTTCATCAATATTTATAGCTTTCAGTATACAGATTGTTTACCTCCTTGTTTAAATTCCTAGGTATTTTCTTCTTTTGGATGCTATTGTAAATAGGATTGTTTCTTAATTTCTTTTTCTGATAGTTCATTGTTAGTATATAGAAATGTAAGTGGGTTTCTTTTTGCATATTGATTTTGTACCCTGCAACTTTAGTGAAATCTTTTATTATAATATTTTTAACAGTTTTTGGTGGAGTCTTTTGGGGTTTCTACATTTAAGATAATGTCATCTGTAAACTGATGATTTTACTTCTTTTTTTTCTAATTTGGATGCCTTTATTTCTTTTTCTGACTAATTGCTCTGGTTAGGACTTCCAGTGCTGTACTGAACAGAGATGGCAAGAATGGGCATCTTTGTCCCTGATCTTAGAGGAAAAGCTTTTCACTGTTCAGAATGTTAGCTGTGGACTTGTCTTACATCCATGAGCTTTTAGCTTAGGAAAATTCCACTTGATATTTTCAGACAAAACATAGAGTGAGAAGTCACAATTTACAGTAATTCAACATAGTATAAAAATCACATTACTGTATGCTTTACACATGTATGCATATATCCTGCTTAATGGGATTGCATTGAGAAAGCAGGTATGATGTTCTTTCTGTGTGATTTAAGAAATAGTCAAGGGCGTTTTTAATCCCGAACCTGAGCACCCACATGACATCCAATGCCTGCACTGACTTTATGGGCTAACACCTCTCTCTGCTGCTGCAAGGACAGATGCAGTGGCCTCTCTAAACACCTGCCTTGCTTTTGTTTCCTAGTGAGAGATTTTCAAGTCAACATTACAGCCACCAGCACGTTTGCTGAAGGGAAACCCTTAGAACTAACGTGCCTGGTAGTGGGCAGTGGCCAGGACCCACAGCTTCAGGGCGTTTGGCTCTTCAATGGTGTTGAAATGGCCCACATTGATGCTGGCGGCGTTCTGCATCTGAAGACAGACTACAAAGAGAGAGCAAGTCAAGGACAACTCCAGATTGCAAAATTAAGCCCCAAGGCTTTCTCTCTCAAGATCTTCGCTGCAGGGCCAGAGGATGAAGGTGCCTACAGATGTGCCGTGGCAGAGATGGCAAGAGCTCAGAGGGGTTCCTGGCAGATGCTCCAGAGAAAGCAGTCACCAGACAGTCATGTGCACCTCAAGAAGCCAGCAGGTAGGTAAAGTCGGGACCAGACATGGTGGGGCTGCTCTCAGACCCTCTCCTTGTTTAGCACAGGATGCCTGGTGGACAGGATGCCTGGTGGACACAGTGGAGGTCTCCTGAGGAGTCAGTGTCAGTCGGGTCACTTTGAGGGGGAGTAAAGGAAAGCACCCAAACTAGCCCAAGGCCTGAGTCCTACTCTTGAGCCATTAAATGGGTCATGGCTGTGGACACACCACTGTATTCTCCAAACCTTAGCTTCCTCAAATGTAACATAATGACATACAGTTAGACTGTCCTTAAGTCCTTTCTTGCTATCTTAGATTCTTTTATTGTATTTGCCATCAGCTCTCAGTTTTATACACTGGGTTTTTCTTCATGCAGAGCACACCTGTATGAATGAAGTCCTCAGTCTTCTTTAGTTGTGTGTGTGACGTGAGTAAGTTAAAAGGGAAAAGCTCCATTTTGCCTTCTGCCTGGGGCGTAGACACCCACATTACTGCCCCACGCTCTTCTGACATCTCTCAGGCACCCTTTATCAACTATCTCTTATCTTCACCTGACATGGGGGCTGGCCCTGAGTCTTAGTTCTGCATCAAAGCATGGCTCAGAGCGAGGAATGAGGAGGGAAATGAGAGTGGGCAGGCTCTGTTCCCTGCATTTTGCTGTGATGGAGCAAGATGCCCATCCAATGGGTCCTAGTATCTGTAGGTATGACACTGGACAGGCCGCTCAGCCGCCATTTAGTTTATGAACATTGGGTGACCTTAAATATGTTGGAATAGTCAGAGTTTTCTGTGTGGAGAGAAAACAGACCCATACACAGCCAATGCAGCGGTCTCTCAGTGTCTGCAGGCAGGTGGGTCCAGGGCCCCCATGGATACCACAGCCCATGGCTGCTCAAGCCCCTTATATAAAATGGCATAGCGTTTGCATGTAACCTATGCACATCCTCCTGTCTACTTTAACTCACCTCCAGATTGCTTAGGATACCTGCCACAGTGTAAGAGTCGTGTAAGTGGTTGTTATACTGTATTGTTTAGGGAATAATGACAAGGGGAAAAGTCTGTATGTTTTCAGGGCAGATGCAGCTGCCTTGGGCCTAACTGCATAGTACAGGTCAGCGGCAACGTGACCTTGAGTGAGTGATGTTTCTGACCCACGGCTGGCTGAGTATGCAGATGCAGCACCAGTGGCAATGGAGGGTTGGCTGTGTGAGGTCTCTGGGCTGAGTGTTAAATTCAAAGTCTAGAAAGATTAATTTGCCCAAAAGCAAAAACAAAAACAAACTAAAAATAAAGATATCTGTGTTGTACTTGCTCTCTGGAGGCATCTCCACAGATAGATACATTTCCCTTTCATGCTTTTCTTCGTCTCCCCATTTGCTAGGAGTGGAGACACAGAAGCCTTGGCCTGGACTGCACGGCGGGAAGTGCGTGGGTGTTAGTTTTCACACCCCACATTTGGTCTAACTGTCTAGGAATAGGGGAAAACTGTGTAGGTGGTTTAGATATTGACACAGAACGAAATCTCTGCTTTGCGTATCTCAGTCTCCCTGAATACACCTGCAACCCTTCCTAAACCCACTACGTGGGTTTGCGCCAAAGGGTCCCGTAGGTGTGCTTCCTGGCTCACAGACCCCAAGCCAGCAGTAGGGTGCCATTATGGGTGACAGATTTATTCAGGGTCTTGTTGAGCATTCAATTTGGAAAGTCAAACCATTATTTGAAATGTGAGCAGTTTTATCATCCTGTGGACATTTTAAACATAAGGGGGGCTCACTGGCCCTGTGAATGTAACCTGCCCACACTTAGTACTCACCAAGAGGCAATAATGACCACAGTGAACTAAGAAAACCTCATTTAAAAAAATTGATGTTAGCCCTGGCTGCTGTGGCTCAGTGGATTGAGTGCTAGCCTGTGAATCAAAGGGTTGCTGGTTCAATTCTCAGTCTAAGGCACATGCCTGGGTTGCAGGCAGGGTCCCTAGTTCCCTAGTGGGGGGTGTGTGAGAGGCAACCACACATTGATATTTCTCTCCCTCTCTTTTTCCCACCCTTCCCCTCTCTAAAAATAAATAAATAAAAATATTTTAAAAAGTAAAATAAAAATTTAAAAAATTAATGTTTGTTGAAACTAATTATTATGGTTATATTAGAGTAGTGGAATTATAACAATTTTCCCCCAATTTCTAAACTTTAGTTATGAATCTATTTTTAACTTGAAAAAATTTAAGTATATTCATGCCTCTAACGCCCCCAATTTGGAAATGTATATGTAGTATATTTGTAGACATTAAACTTCATTCTGCCTCTGTAACTTATACACATACATAATTAAAGCAGTAGAAGACTGAACTCCTGCCACGACAGGGAAGAACAATTTGCAAATTCAATTAGATCCTACTCAGGTTTCCAACGCCAGTTCTATTTTCTATTTCTCTCTTGGCTTTGAACTACCACTGTTTTCTCTAAGTGCCTATTCTAACATATAACACTAATGCTAAGAGCTAACCTTTACAGGCAATTTCCCTTGCCAGCCAGCCTAAGCCCTCTGTGTGTGCATTCACTTAGTTCTCTCAACACTGCGATGAGGTGGGTCTGTTATTACACCTAGATTTCCAGGAAAGAACACGGAGGCTCACAGAGATCAACTGTGTTGCCCAAGGTCATTCTGACTCCAGGGACCTTGGCCTAAGCGTGAGGCCGGGCTGCCTGCCATGCGTGAGCCCCTGAGGCGTCTTCACGTTGCCCACAAGGCACCCAGGGCCAGCCCTTGCAGAGGAAGTGCTTGCTGAATGAATGTCTGCCTTTCCACATGGCTTGAATTTCCCATCTGGGAACCAAATTCACACTTATAGTTTAGATAAAAGAAGGATCTCCCTTCCAACTATATATATAACTTGAAAGATAACTACATATACATATATATACGCACATACGTATTTTCCCCCAAGTACTTGTTTTTAATGGTAGTGCTGTGAACAGAAATCCTATTAACAATGCTCCTTTGCTATTGAAAACACATGCTCATTAGGGAAGGATAAGCAGGGAGAGGAGGGTCATTTTGAACTGTGAAAGTCTGAATTCCAAAAAAGTAAAACTTTAAATAAACATGGCTTCATTACTTTCAGGGTCGCACACCCACCCTAATTAATCTCACACAGTACTACCAGATGTTTTCCCAACCAGAGGTCCTCAAGGAAGGGAGGATCTAACACATTGCTAAAAATAAGACGAGTAATAAATTGTTTAAGTATAAATAGGCTCTCTGGATATTCTTTCTGCTGTCTGGTTCCCACTATTCCAGAGTTTCGCAAGTCCTTTTGCTGGGGTGCTATGGGAGTAAACAGCCTGATCGGATTTGTCACCAACCGGTCAGGCCCTAATTAATGAGAAATCATTGCGCTTTAGAAAATTTTTCATTGACTTGAAATAATTTGTTCTTCTAACCTGTAATCCCCAGCAAGAAGCGTGGTCTTGTCCACCCAGAGCGAGCAGCAAACGGTGTGGGAAGGAGAGGCGCTGACGCTGGTCTGCAAGGCAGACGGAGCCGAAAGCCTCCTGTCTGCGAGCTGGTGGCACTTCCCGCGGAACCAGACGCAGCCGGAGTTCGTGGCTGGCATGGATCAGGCTGGCACCGTGCAACGGGGTGCCTCCTATGGCGAACCCAGCAACCACGGCCGCACGAGGCTGGAGAAAATGGACTGGGCCACCTTCCGGCTGGAGATCTCCTCCACCAGCATCAGCGACAGCGGCATCTACGAGTGCAGAGTGTCTGAGAGGACCAGGGCCCAAGGCGGAGGTCTGAGCTGGGCTCAGAAGATGTCCGTCACTGTGAAATCCCTAGGTAAGTGTCACAGAAATCCTTTTCTGAACTTATGTACAGTCGGTACCTTCCTTCTGCAGCGGGGCGCAGTGGAATTTGATGGTGTCTCATCCTGAATCCCCTAGTTATGGTGTATGTACCCCAGGACACAGAGCACAGTCTCTGGATACCACGTCTGACAATTATCTCTGAAATAAAACTCAGATTTTATAAAGATCCTTGTTAGGGTACAACTTGTAAGTTGTCGTTCAAGGTTAAAAACGAAGAGATACAGGGAGTGGAGCTGAGCCCCACACACTCAGGCTTTTGGCGGCAGCAGCCCTAGGATGAGTCTCTCAGCCCCCGAGCAAAAGAACGCACTGAACCCAAAGGGGCGGGGTCATGGAGGGAGGGGTCTGCGGAGCGCTCCACCCACTCAGGGGCAGCTGTCTGAGCCGCAGACTGGGCAAACACTGCCTGTTTGTTGCCGCTGCTGGGAATGCTCTGAGAAGAGGGTCAGCTTAGGAAAACTGAGGTCAGAATCCAGGACAGACTGTACTGTGAATCCACTTCTACCCCCAAATACTTGACACTCGCAATGGATGAATGACGGCCTGATGCCTAGTTTTCTAGGCCGCGCCTTACTTTGATTTGATCGACATCTTACAAATTGCGTTTCACATTTCTGCCCACAGCGTCAAGTTTACAAGTTAATCTGATGAGCCGTCAACCACAAGTGAAACTAACCAACACCTTGAACCTGTCCTGCATAGTGGGTGTTGGCTACCCTGACCTCCAGGTGCCACTCAGCGTGACGTGGCAGTTCCGGCCAGCTGGGGCTCAGGCCTTCCACCAGCTGGTCCGAGTCACGCAACCAGGCACTATCGAATGGAGAGACTTCCCCTCCCAGTTCCAAAAAAAGATGAAAGTTTCGCAGTCTTCACTTCATTCTCAACTCCTGATCTACGACGCCACCAAGGAAGAGGAGGGGGTGTATCAGTGCAAAGTGGATGTTTACGACAGAAATTCCCTGCGCTCCAACGGCCCCGCCCGGGCTTCTGCTCTGTCTCACCCACTCAGCATAGTCATCACTTTACCAGGTAAACGCCACTCAAAATTAATGCCTGCTCTTTAAAAAAATACTACTCCCATTTTGGGTAAGTTATAAAACTGAGGCGTGAAATGCCTTCTCCTTGTGTTTGTACTGCAGAAGTCAGCACCATAGACGTGTATAAGTGATATCCAGGCTAACACTGTGTTGCTATGCACTGGTTGTTAAAACATTAAAATAGTTCCACACCAACTAATAAAACTGTTACTCGATCCCCGTTCCCCATCTTCCCACAAGTCCCACCAGCCAGCAACGCAAGGGCACCCCCTGGAGCAGTGGGGCCCCTCCCGGGCTGGCTGCAGGGTGAGGCGTTGTTTCAGACCGGCCACTGCCCCTGCTTACCAGTCATGAAACGTCTGGGCTGTCTCCGCTAGTGCTGTGGATAATGTCAGTTTCACCAGAATATATTTATCCACCCATTTTAATGTGTTAATGTGTGAGAGAGAATATATGATTATAGGAAATGTAATCTATCTTGTCGATCGGTAATAGCGCATAGAGGTTAGAAGCGCATAGACAATCTGGGCGGTTTTGCTGAGTCAAATATCTTCTCCCAAGACTTTCGTTCTCTTAGGACAGAATGTTCAAGAGCCTTTGAAGTCATTTGTAATAGATCTGACAAGCAGCATGGCTTCGGATAAGTCACTTAATTTGTCCAGGCCTAGCTACCTCACCTGTAAATTGCTCGTGTGCAGTTTACAGGTGGTGACATCCACAGGGTGCCTAGCGCAGTGCCCGCCACACCAAGCAGATGCTCTCACGTGGTGGCCGTCATTATTCTGTCTGCTGCTGAGCAATGTTTCCGTAATGGTAACGATCCCCTTATTGATTAACTTGTGCCTAAGTTGACTTGTCCTTTCTTTGGACTTTGAAATTGTTTGGCCCACTCTTTTCTTCTGGAAACTTCTTTTTTCCTTGACTTCATGATACAAGACTTTCTTGGTGTCCGCCCTGACACTCTGACTGCTCTTTCTCTTTCTGTTTTGCAGAATTCCCCTCCTCCACTGATTCGTTCCTTTGAGTTTCATCCTCAACTTCCTCTCTTCTTATGCTGTGCATCTGCTGAGGTGGGCTTATTCCCACCCACGGGTCCAACCTGTGTGCTGACAACTCCTGAGCCCATTATCCTGAAAGACTTTTCTTCCGATCTCCAGACACATCTATGAAGCTGTCTCCAAGATATGTCCACACTCAATATGTCAAAACATAAATGTGCCATTGTTATCCCCCCCAAAGCTACTCTTACCTTGTTCCCAGTGTCCCCAGCACCCACCGGTGACCCAAGTGGGGAACTGGAGTCATCTGCAACTCCCCCGTGTCCACCTCATACCCAAACTCCCGCAGCACCACCTGCGAGGTCTGTCATAATTTGGTACATTTATGTCTTTCCAGCATCATCTCCTTCCACGTTTCATCTTGAATTTGAACTTCAGCCACACCGAATTACTTGCAGTTCCTCAAATCCTCTGGGTTCTCTCTCACTTTCAAAGTCTTTGTTCAAGTTCCTTCTTTTGTGTGGAATTTCTTCAACCCTTCTCTAGCAGACTGATTAACCCTTAAGACTTAGCTTAGAGGTATCTCCTCCAGGAAGCCCTCCTCACTCCCATATTTGGTTTAGGTGGTCCTGGTGTGCGTTTTCATAGTCACCTCTGCCTACCTCTGTCCCACTTGAGTGACACAATCCTGTCACCTCTGAGCCTTTGTCCCTGTACTTAGTCTGTTCTTCTAGACTGTGAACCCAAAGAGGGGAGGCATCTACAGAGCCTGGAATAGCCTAGCGCATAACATTGTACATGCTTAATAAACGCTTATTGAAGGAAGATCAACGGTGATAAGCAGTTATAAAAGTAGAATCAGCGATGTCAACGAGAAGTTGGAATAAGCTTTGGGAGCAATGCTTGGTCCTTCTTCTTTCTGACAAAGCAGAGCAACTTTGGGGTTAAAGGAGAGTTGACTCTATGTGGATACAATATTCCCACAGTCGAGTGACTGCAAAGAGACATACAGTTTTGTTTTTTTTGGTCACTGAATGGGTTTAGTTATTGAGACATACAAGTTTAATAGCCTGCATACAACTTCCTCTTGTTTGCCCATGTTTAAAGGCGCATGCAACTGGGCTGGCAAGTTGACAACCCAGTACTCTGGCGAGAGAACACACGGGCAAAGAACCTCCTCTCCCTTTGAGGTATAAAATGCTGAGAAGAGAAGGTGTCTGCGCTTAAGTGTTTCCTCAGCAGGAGGAGCAGTGGGGGGCGGGGTGCTGCTGGAGCGGGAATTCACACATCTGCTGGATGTGGGAGGTGTCACTCTGCTTGACCTCTAGTGACTGTTCTGCCTTGAAATTCTGTTTTCTCACGAAAGTGCCTGTCTCCATTCCTTTAATGTAGAGAGCAAGCTAAAAGTGAACTCAAGCAGTCAAGTCCAAGAGCTCTCCATCAACTCCAACACCGCCATAGAATGCAGGATCTTGTCCCAGACCCCTGGAAACCTTTCGTTAGCCGTCACTTGGTACTTCTCTCCCCTCTCCCCTAATGCGTCCTGGCTGACGATCCTGGAAGTGGACCAAGCCAATGTTGTAAAATATGGAGATGAATTTCACAGCCCACGGAGGAAACAAAAATTCCACACCCAGAAAGTTTCCCATGACGTGTTTCGGCTGCACATTCTGAACGTGGAAGACGGCGATCAGGGCGCATACCGCTGCGCTGTGCAGGAGTGGCTCCTGTCCGCCAACGGCGTGGGGTACGGGCTTGGAGAAGGGACGTCAGGTCTGACAGAACTGAAACTCAGGCCCACAGGTAAACTGCACGCGTCTTTCTGTGGGACTGCCATCCTCTCTGGGGCAGCTGTTCTTTAGAGTGATTACGTGAAGGTAAAAATATGACCTGGAGTCCTCGGAATAGCGTCCCCTTCACAATGACTGTCGGGCCTGGAAGCCCACCAGAGGTGGGGGCAGGTCATTTGAGGTGAATCAACCTAAGGTTTCAAGCAGCTGGAGGGGAACACGATTCCTTTGCGTGTTTGCTGATCAGCTTGGCAGCCGGGTCCGTGCAGGTACCCAGGGTATCGTATCCTCAGATCTCCATAACAAGCTGTGTCATTCCGGTGGGGCTCTATTGTAATTTGGCAGAGAAAGAGTAATACGAAGCATATTTCTCCCACTGTGAACAGAAACTGTACAGCTCAACAGGGATGTGTGCAGAAATTGCTTTTCAACATTTGGCTGCCTAAACAGAAGGCAAATAAGAGTGGTTAACCATTGGAGTGGCTGACTGAGGGAATCTCCTCTTCCTCGGGAGACCTTTAAAAATGTAATAGACCTTCCACCCTCTTGCATTGGTCTAAGCGTGCTGCGCTCTAACAGTGGGCAGGGTTAAGTAGACCAGGGTTAAGGCAGATCTCTCAGCCTTAGTTAGGTCACCTCCACTGTTGATTAAAAGTAGATGAATGTCGCCCTGGCTGGTGTGGCTCAGTGGACTGAGTGCCGTCCTGTGAAACAAAGGGTCACCGGTTCAATTCCCAGTCAGGGCACATGCCTGTGTTGTGGGCCAGGGAATGTGAGAGGCAACCACCCATTGGTGTTACTTGCCCTCTCTTTCTCCTTCCCTTCCCCTCTCTCTAAAAATAAATAAATAAAATCTTTAGAAAAACTTCAGATGAATGTCATGGCTAAGGTTCGGGAACTGGATGAGATCCAACGGCACAATGCAAATAAGTTCATCTAGTTTGGCACTTAAAATTCTATTTTCAATGTAACATCAAAAACAGGACTATAATGAGCACTGCTGCACGGCAGGCCGCTGGGAATACGGATGGAAGGCACAGCTCTTGCCTGAAGGAGCTCACAGTCTGCTGGGCAGCAGCGAGCCCCCGGGTTCCCCTTCTCTGTGTTCCTCAGACCCCTCTTCCCCTCCCCGCTAACTGTGGGTGTTCCTCGGGGACAGGTCCCGGGCCCCGTTTTCTTCTTCTTCTCTGCTCTCTGTGGAACTTCTCACACACTGCCTGGATTTCAGGCGCCACCTTCGACGAAACGGCTGCAGGTCCTCATCCTCACCCCCTACCCCAACTGCCCGTCGGGCGTTCCTGCTGGGATGCCTGGGCGTCCCTCGCACTCAGTGTGTCCCCAGTTGCATCGGGCCTGTCTGCTATCCCACAAAACGCGTGCACACTTCTGCGTCCTCCGTCTGTGTGGCTGGCATTCCTTCCTCCCAGTTGTCTAAGCCAAATCTCAACAGTGTGTGCACACCCCTTTAAGGAGGCAGCCACTTCTGAGCTCAAGCCAGAGCTTCCCTTTCAAAGTCATGGGCTCAGTGTTTTCCGGCCTTTTAGTATCTCAAGAAGTGCCTAAAACATGTTTTTTTTTAATTTTGGGGTTTTTTTGTGACATTGCTTATTTTGAGAACGTTCACAACAAATTCAAATTCTTCTAAAATCCTGACGTGTCAAATAAAACATATTTGGCTGTGGCTGCTGGAGGGGGCCCTCGGTAGGGAGCGAGTTAAGGATCTAGTGCCCCCAGGGTAAGATGCGGAGAAGTGGTGGTCAGAACTGTAGGAGGACTGTTGTCTCTGAAATCAGAAGAGAAGACGTCAAGAAGAAAACAACTTCCGTGACCAAAACACCACAGAGAGGACAAAACACAGTGGAGGGTTCCTTGGGCCAGGAAATCGGGCCCTTACTGTGGACCTTGGCCAGAGTGTGGCAGTGGGATTGGAAGGTCGATTGCAGTGACACAGGGAGAAACTTGAGGGCAGGAAGCAGGTAAATAGTAGTTTATCACGTAAGCTGATGTTCACATGCTTTGCCATCAAGGGAAGGAGAGAGCAAAGATGGTAACTGAAAAAAAAAATCCAGGATCAAAGTTGTTCTTTTAATGATAGATTATCAATGTTTTTGTAGTAGAGTTGGAAATTCAGTGCACACTGTAATTTCTTTATTTTGTAACTACTCTGGCTTTCATTCCAAGTCCTTACCTGCTGGTTAGCAGAGAAAAAAAATGTTTTTAAGTAAATGTCAAAATCTGTTTAAAACATAGCCTAATTCAATTATTTAAATGGTGTTGTTGAGTGGTAGTCTAACACTTGCATTAAAATGTTCAGTCTCTCGGGTAGCCTCCTCTTTCCCTGTGTCTACAGCTGAGACGACACCCAGGTAACTTGCTGAGAACAAGGGTACGGTAGAATACGTGACGTGAGGGATGGGTGGGGGCGGGGCGTTCAGGGAAGCAGAAGAGGGGGCGGCCAGGGAGAGGTGAAAGAGGCCGGCAGAGCACCCACCGAAGCTGGGTAGCTTCCAGTGGCAGGTCCAGAGGCAAGAGGTAGGGCTGAAGGACAGAAATGGCTGGTTTGATTCATAGCTGAGAATGTTCTAGCAAATATGAAGAAGGACAGGGGTCAAAGAAAAGTGTTAAAGAGGAAAGATCTGATATCTAAAGATTATAAGATGGCATCTCCTCAACGAGAACTAGGTTTTCCAGAGGAGGTGTCTAGTCAAGAAGTCTGGGTTCTTCTCTGACTCAGTGCCATTTTGCTTCCCAGGAAGTAAGGTCCGTGTCTCTAACGTGCACTGGACAGAAAATGCGACCGAGCACACAGAGGTGGCCATCCACTGCGGCCTGGAGAGCTCGGGCGACTCAGCCTCCCTGTTCTCCGTGATGTGGTACCGGACCATAGAACATTCTAAAAGCAAACTGCTGGTGCACCTGCAGCATGACGGCTTGCTGGAGTATGGCGACGAGGGGCTCAGGAGGCACCTGCAGTGCTACCGTTCATCCCCTACAGACTTTGTCCTGAAGTTTCATCAGGTGGAGATGAAGGATGCGGGAGCGTACTGGTGCAGGGTGGCAGAGTGGCAGCTCCTCGGCACCCCCAGCAAGTGGGTCACCCAAGCATCAGATGAGTCACAGCCTGTGGTGCTCACAGTGCTGCCTTCAGGTAACCAGGGGTTCACCTGCCGCGGCTCATGGCCGGGAGAATCCTTGTCTCCCCTCTTATGCTTCCCCTCCCAGCTGTGGTTTGCTCCTTCTGCAGGCGGAAACCACTATCAAACTCCCTAACAGAGTGACTTTGCCTTTTCTCCCGATGGTAACGTATTTGGACAGATGAGGGCTGGATGAGGTTTTACCATAGACATTGATATGTCAGAGGACTCCGCCTCCAGTTCCAAACAAAAAAGCCCTCCATGTTATATCCCTTTAAGTAACTGAAGAGTGTCTGAAGCAGACATCCTTGGGTCTTGGCTGACCTTGAATCTCAGGGTGCTGATGTGCAGTGCCAGTAGGAATGAGAGAGGGACATGGTGACTTTGTGTTTGATCGGGTTGAACCAATGTCAGCTACATCTCAGTGCTCCCTGAGTCAAAAACAAAACAAGACAAACAGGAAAAACCTTTCTCAGTGGGTGAGGGCCAGGCTCCTTATCTCCCTGTGTGGACAACCAACTACCACACTTTCATAATGATGCTCATTTGGTGTGCTTCTCCTAATTGTACCTTGAAAGGCATCAGCAGAGGAAGTGTGCCTGGTAGAACTTGTTGACAGAAGACCATTGGCCAAAGGTAACCTTTCCCCGTGTGGGAAGGTCATCAGTTCAGCTGAGCACACAGATTCGGGAGGGATGTGGAATGAGATTTTGGAGAAGAAGAAGGCACCCTTCCAGCTAGAGCAGTGCCAAGCATATCATAGGCATTTATTAAGCATTTGTTAATGAAAGCAAAAATGTCTCCAGCCAGACCAGTAAATCTTTCCTGCCGGTCGATGAGCTGGCACAGGTTGCAGCCAGCTCATTCCCCGAGCCACTTCTGCCCGGTGGGGTTTAAGGAGAAGGTGAGAGGTGAGCAGCCAGCGAAACTTATGGTGGGAAGGGGTCACCAGAGAGACGGTGGTGTGGTCCTGGTTCCCTTCACCGGAGAAGGCACAAAGGATCAGTAATGAGAGCGTTCCTAGGACAGCAGCTGGCTTTGGTGACACTCCTTAGGAGGGAGTGAGGGCTGTGGAGAACATCTGGAAGCTTCCCAGCTATCCCAGCAAGGCTCCCAGAGTGGAAGTCAACATGATCTGGTTTGCTCTCTGGGGGTGCCGTCATCCTCTTCCCCTGTCCACTCTTCAGTGAATCTTCCTCCCAAGTCTCCAAGCAGAACTTTCCTTCCAATCAGCTATTCTTCCACCCCAGGAATTATGGGAAGTCCTAGACCTCCGAGCTGGTTCCATATACCTGTTCCCACCGGCATTCCTGGGCTCTGCAGAACCAGCACTTTTTGCAATAGAACAAATAGATAATAACTCTAAAAAGTATATATTCTGTATTTAAAAAGCACATCTCTTTGTGGGATCCTTATAAAAGCAAACAGATGGGCCCTCAAAAGAAATTGGATTCTTCACAATTGAAGAGGTTTGCAAGCCTGTGTCATGGTTTTCTTTGCAAGCACAGTTAGAGGTTCCCCAACCCATCTTTGCAGCCCAGCATCTTGTTTCCTGTGCCTGGATGGTTCTTTCTGGGAGTGGGGAGGTGGTGTGGGGAGGAGAAAAAGGCCAGGGTGAGGAATCGGGCAAACCTAGGCTCAAATCTTAGCTCTACCACCTACCTACTCGCTGTGAAATCAAAGCATCTAGCACAGTCCCTGGATACTGTAAGTGCTCCAGACAAATGTTACCTCTTCTCTCCTGTGCCTCCAAACATGCCACACACACACCCAGAAATGCACATGCGCACGTATATGTCCATCTACATAACAAATACGGTAACTTATTTAATAATGAAGTATATGAGGTTCTGAGGACATGAAAACATGTGTTGCAGAGCCTGTCCCCACAGAGCTCAGAGTCCAATGGGGGAAACGAAGTCCAACCTGCAAGTGCTGTCAAAGAAATAGTCTCAGTACACTATGACAGGAGCAGAGGCAGGGCTGGGGGGAAGGACTGGACAAGGAGGAGTCTGGGAAGGTTCCCCGGACTATAGGGCCTGAAAAAAGGAGGAAAGCCATTTCATAAAAGGGAAAGGGCATGCAAGATGATCGTAGAAACTACGGTAGGGTGGGAAGAGGTGAGGTTAGCGAGGTGCGGAGGTACCCATCTCAGGCGTGTCTTGCATATGAAACTGAAGACAGTGCACTTTATCAGAGAAGTTGTGGAGTGCCATTGAACGCGCTCAAGCAGGCGAGGGACATCCTCAGACTTGCTCTTTAGAAAGCTCCCCTCTAGGAGCAGAGTTCACAGTCAGTGGGAAGGGAGGCAGACACAGAGCAGGGAAAACCATTTCGAAGCAGCTGCAGAACCCAGGTAAGATGAGATGAAGGCTTGAATCAAGGCAGTGCTCATGAGGGCTGACAGTAGGACAGGCATTTGGGATTAGGAGGTGTACCCTTAAAGATTTAAGACACTGATTAGATGTATGTGGGTGGGAGGGGGTGAGTGAGCAGAAGGGGAGACTCAAGGGTGAACGTCAAGTTTCTGGCAAAGGTAGATAGTGGAACATTCACTAAAGAGAAAAGTCTGAAGGGGAAGATGAGTTCAAGTTTGAATAAGTTAGGCTGGACTTGAGTTCGGAGGACCTGTGAGTTACCCAGGGAGACCTCTCCAGTAGACACCAGAACTTCCAAATGAGATCTTTGCCAGATTCAAAGTCAACAGCTTATAGCCAATAATGATGCCCAGAGATGGGCCTTGGAGATACCTCACCATTTATTGGTTAGGGAAGTGCAGGAGAGGGGCCCGCGAAGGAGGATGGGGGAGGAGAAGAGAGGTGAGAGGAGAACCAAGGTTTGTGACAGCACAGGAACCAAAGGCACAGAGCGGCCAAGAGGCAGGGGAGAGCCAGCAGACCGCAGCTATTGCGAAGAGGTCAATGAAAGTAAGAATGGAGCAATAGCCACTGGATTTAGCAATATGGAGAAATAGCAGAAGCAGAGAGAGGAGTCAGGCTGCCTGAGAGAGTGGTCACAGCACACACAGGTTATGCTTGCAAGACTCTTGATGTAAAGGGAAATAGGAACCACCGTAACAAATGGCAAGAGGTGCCGGTGAAGTGTGCTTTATTCTGTTTTCGTCTGGAGACCGTGGGAACTTGAACACGTGGACGTTCTAGAGGGGAAGAGCCCACGGAGAGAAGGGGAAGAATAGAAGACAACAGACACGAGTGACAGGCCAGCATCCTGCACAAACGCACGCCACCTCTTGACTGGAGTGCCCCTCAGGCCCGTCTTTCCCTGGCCAGCACGTGCTAATAATCCTTTCCCTGCCAACTTGACTGTCACTTTCTGAGTGGCCCTGCCTCACTGTCTTGGTCATCACACCTGCTTAACATCCGTCAGCACCGTAGATGCTGAGAAGGCGGAGACTCTGAGGGTCTCATCCCCGGATTAGCACGATGCCTGGAACATAGACGCTCAAACACCCTCTGGATCACAGGGCAATTGCGCTCCTGATAAGGACCCGCTCCGAGCATTAATAAAGAGCAGATCCAATATGATGTACCACCAATTCTCCCCTCCCAAATGGTTTTCCACCGTCCCTACTTGGCAGCTCCGCGTGCAGTTAGTTTGGGACCACGTAACAAAACTGTGAGGCCTGTGGTTTAAGTGAAGGTAGGGAAGTTCAGAGGCATGTCCCTGGGGAATGGACCTTGCATTTTTTTCTTCATCTTACTTCCTCAGCTCTGGCTAAGCCAAGGCAGGGGCTCCAGCCACCTGAGTCTTTTAACCTCACCCTCAGACCCCAGACATAAATGTCTTCTTCTAGAAAATTCTCTGTGATTAATTGATAGGCAAGGCTATAGAACTTGTTGGGGGCTGGATTATTTGTCGTAGTATGGCGTTTGTTACTATTTCCCAGCTTCTGTTTGGATAAGGCTACACTCGAAGAGCAGACCCTCAAAGGAGATGTGTGCCCTGCCACACTGAAGGTTCCGGAGAGACCATGACATCTACCCATGTTCCCTCAGTGTCTCCAGGGAGGCCTGACATGGAGCGCTCCGCAAGTGCTTGCTGGAAGAATGAGCCAGCCATTCTCCTGTTGGGCTGAAACAGGATGCTGCCAGGGATTCACTTATTTGAGGACGCACTTGTATCAGCTTACCTAACCCTTCTTTTATTTTTTTGGCAAGAGTCAACTCTCCCACAGGGCCGAAGTCAGTTGCCCAGGTTTTGGTTGGGGTGGGGAAAGAGCCAGCAGCCCCCTTTCTTCTTCCGAGGTCACATCAATAAGGAACGTTCCTCGTGATGCGTTTGGCTGTGGGGGGCAGCGTGTCATGGGCTAGACCTCATGATGAAGTGTTCTCATTGCATTTTTGGCTCAGTCTTGCAGGCCTTGCACTTTGAGCCTTGGGCACTTACTCGGATTAATTCAGAATGCCAAGCCTTAATGGTTTTGACTGTACTAATTCTAATCCAGATATGGGCGAGAGGCAGATGGTGGGAGAGGGTGGATGTGGGGTCCAGAGCAAATGCCATCCTTCCAGGAGAGGCCAAACCAGGCGGTGGAGCCGATGGTTGCCGGCTGTGGGCCAGTTCAGCAGCACCGTGAGGAATGTCCTTTGACTGCAGACCCCTCTAAGTGGGGCAGCCTCCTCCCCATTGAGATAGTCAAGGGCCCTGGCAGTCCCTTCCTGCTGAAGGTTAGCGTCCCAATGGCAGAAGAGCAAGTACCAGAGTTCTTTTCACCTTCTATGTGCTGGTCCCACCTCCCCATCAGCACACCTCCATCCTAGCAATGGTGATACATGGGTTCTGTGGACCCCACCTCCCAATTCTCTGCCTCCCATGAGTAGGAAAAGGAAGCCAGAGGCTCCTGAGAAATCATGTGACTCTCAGCTGAATGTCCCCCAGTCTTGGGGACCGAGGGCTCGGAGGTTTAAGAAAGAGGCGTGGCCTGCAGAAGAACGCGACCCAGCCTGGGGCCCCTGAGAGGAACCAGCGGGCTCAGCCCTGTTTTCTCTCTGGTCTCTCAGGGGAAAGTTGCCTGTGATTTTCCTGACTTTCTCAGTAGCATTCTAGCTACTATTTATTCTCTGCTGACTCAACAAATGCACCAGACACTATATTAAGTGTTTTATTATGCATTATCTCATTGCGGCTTTAGAAATTATTATCCCCACTTGATTGATGAGGAAACTAATGATTAGAGTGGTTAAGTAACTTGTCCAATGTCAGACATGGTCGGTGGAAGAGGCAGGATTTGAACCCAGCTTTCCAGGGTGGAGGAGGTACTCAGTAACTAGTCCGCACGTCAATGGCGTGAAGTACCAAGGCCAGCACCCTTAGCCTCTTGTTCTTCAGCTCCATTCTCTTTGAGCATCTCTGTCTACACCTCCGGCTTCACCACATGCCTTCAAATGTATTCAGATGAGACGTGGCAGAATTACTGTCGCCAAGCAGGGCCTTAGAGGGGTTAGGGAGGATGTAGAGAAGGGATAATCAAGGACTCAAAATCTAGCTTTTTCATTGCCCACCCTTTCAAAATCAAACACGCAATTTACGATGGAGCTTACGAATGAGACCAGAGGAAATCCCAACGACGAAGCCCCGCAGCTCCTCGCCAGCCTGTTCAGAGCCGCCGTGTTCAGCGAGGGTTTCGCTCTGTGCAGAAGATGGCGGCCGCGCCCCTGGGTTCCTGGGCTCGGAATTCACTCTCGTGACCCGTTCATCTGTCCGTCCCCATTGATGACCTGTGGACAAAATGCTGCACAAAAGAAAAAGATGCACAAGACGTAGGCCCTGTCCCCCAGGAGCTCCCAGCGCAGGAACTGGACCAGGGTCTGGTTACTTGAGTTCCAATAAAGACATTCTTCAGGGTGCAAAATGCATCAGCAATGCCAAAAATGGAATCCTTGAAGCATGCGTTTGATCAAAATGACCTCGGAACCTGTTGTTTTCATCTCAAAGAGTCTGTCATCCCAAGAATCCTGTGGCTTAGCCTCTGAAAAAGGAATTGCTTATGCTATGACAATTTTCCAACGAAAGCACAGCCACTGTTAGCATCAGACTTTCAGAGCAGCCTCATTTGGAATACCCTGTCGTAAGTGAATGTAGCTGGAAGGCTACATTTTATAGTTGGTGTCTCATGAAGCATGTATCTTTCTCTCATCGGGACTGTGAGACTAGTCTTTTACTAGTAACTCGAGGGTCTGTGTCCTGGAGCCTGTGTGGATGCGGTCCTCTTGTCCGTGTCCCTGCTGTGTGGCTGGGACCCACTCTGAGGCTGCATGTGTGCATTCCACATGTCTGGTGCTGACAACACTCCCCAGGAACCGCAGCTGCGATGGGGCATCTTCAGCCAGTCTTTACGTGGTAACTTCTGCCCCATTCAGTCCAGTCTCGCTCAGCGAAAGTGATCAAGCGCATGTGCCAGGCACTGCAGGGGCTGTGGAAACAAGTGGCCCCGTCAGACACTCACGCACCTACGGTAAAACAGCAGAGAGGGCTAGAAGGGGACCGGGAGAGGTCTGAACAGGTCTGAGTGAGAGGGGATACAAGAGAACTGTATCCGAGGTGAGGTAGGACCCCCTGAGGGAGGAAGTGTGCTCCAACCTGGGCCAGGGGACCCAGAGGACCCAGGGGACCCAGAGGATTAGGGTGCAGAGAGCATGATGGGGTGGGGGGCAGCAAGAAGAACAGCACAGACATGGGGCTGAGTGGAGGGGGCCTGGAGAGGGGGGCGAATTTGGAGTCAGGAAGGGATGGTGAGTCTCACTGTAGGTGTTATTTTATGAGGACCATGCATATGAGAGAGAGAGAGAGAGAAGGAGGGGGGAGAGAAAGCGGGAGGGAGGGAGAGAGGCTGATTAAGAAGCAACAACAGTGGGAATAATTCAGTTAAAATTTCAGGCCCGGCAGCAGAGTTGACGAGGGTTGAATTATACATACCTTTTCTGAGGAAAGAAGATTAAAGGAGTGGTTTTCTTTTTTGTTTTGGCTTTCTTTCTGGCTGTTAGTTTTAAGTAGGTCATTGGAGCCTCCAGTGGTTGGAAATTGCTGGGCCAGGCAGGGTAGGTCAGAAGAGTTCTCGGCTCCTCACACTCTCTCCTTTGCTCCTCACGGGTGATTTAAGGGGCTGGTTCTATTAGGGCCCCTTATTGTTACAGGTATTTGCCTGTAACAGTGAATCCTAGAAGTGTTTATAATTGAATTAGCACAAATAAATCAAAGACTAATTATTTTCTTTCTTTCTCTTTCTTTCTTTCTTTCTTTCTCTTTCTTTCTTTCTTTCTTTCTTTCTTTCTTTCTTTCTTTCTTTCTTTCTTTCTTCTTTATAGAGCCCACGTTTCCTTCTAGGATCTGCTCTTCAACATCTTTTATCTATTTTTTACTTGTCTGCCCCTTCATTCTGCTCATTCTTCTGCTCATTTCTGCCCTCTGCTTATACTGGAAGACCAGGAAGCTGTCAGCACTGAGACTAGCGTCCCAGAAAGAAAAGGCCCTCTGGGTGAACATGAACGGGGCTGGAGACAGTCCCGCCAGCAGGTGGGGAGAGGAAGAGGAAGACCATTGACTCCCAAGAGGCTCCCGCAGTCCCGTGGGAACAGTGTGGACTTTGCAGTTGGACTGATCAGACCAGCGTGCACATGAATCCTGGCTCTGCCTTTCTCTTGTCTGTGGCCTTGGGTACATTCCCCAGGAATCTGAGGAGATGTTCATTGAGTGTGTATGTGGTGCCAGGCACTGTTAAGTGTTTCTTTGTGTGTGACCTCATCTACCCCTTGTATGCCCCTCCCCCCAGGAGCGGGATGGCATCATGACTCTGATTTCACTCACTTCGCCTTATGGAGGTTCAGGTTCCCCATCTGGGAGGAGAGAAGTCCCGCCCTCTCACAGCCTCTGGGGCTCAGTGAGATCCTGTGGCCAAGCCCAGTGGGGGGTGGGGGGCTCTCTCAGCTCTCCTGGGCTCTCAGTCACTGATTGCCTGGAAAACGCCCTGAGCTGCCCTCACCGTGGCTCTCGGTAATCCTCTGCCTCCAGGGAAGAGGTGTAGGAAGGGGCCTGAAGTAGCGAGGTGGGAGGAACTGGGAATATGTCCTTCTTTCCCATTACACCTGCCTCCCACTGCAATGCGGCTCCCTTCGAGGCAGAAACCCCCCTTTCCCTTCGTCCCATCGATAAGAGCCACGCAAAAGCTCTGCGTAGTAGGTGCTTAATTAGTGTTGTTTTTCTTTATTAAATAATAAAGCATTTTGTAGCCTGAGTTTTTTTTTCCCCCTGTAAGACTAAGTCATCGCTAAGGAAAACTTTTTTTTAAATCTAACAACAGTGCTCCAGTCAGCCCCCCAAGATTCGTATCTTCCCTTGCTCCCCACACCACAAGGCCTGCCTGGCTCCCGGCTCTTAGCCAATGCCCTGTCTTCTCAGACCGGACAGCACTCTGGGGCTGTGGTGGTTATGTGGGGGATGAGCGGTCCACAGTGCCATGTCCCCTCCCATGGCAGTGGGCTAGGGGTTCAGGGGGGCCGTGGGTCAAGTCTGGCTCCTCCGGATCCCCTATTCTCAGCCAGGTAAAGTCGAGAGGATGGTGGTGAAGTTGGGGTTCATGGCTTAAGGCTTTCAACGCTGTCCCCCCCAGGAGTAGACAACTGTCCCCACTGGACCTGAGGTCCCTTCCCTTTGTTTCAAAAGCTACTCAGGCCCCATTGTAGCCGGAATGGAAAACCAATCAGTGTCACCTCACAGACTTGAGAAAACACATCTGTTTATTGTCTGTGTGACCAACAGCATTGCTTTCACACTCGGTAATTTGCATTTCCAAGGAGAGCGATTTATTTTTAATTATTGTATCAGGCGCAGACGTCCTCTCCAAACATAATTAGTTTTTTTGCAAGAGAATTATCAGTGGCTGCGAGAACTCCCACAGTAGACCCACTGGCTCCATGCACTCTTCTCACTCCAAATGTTTCCTTCCACACTTCCACACGTTTGTTTTTCTCAGGTAAGGAAGCATAGTTTTCAGAGAACAAAGCTCAAGGTAAAGACCTCTGAGAAAATAAGATTGATGTCTCCCCCTCCAGTTTTCCCAGAAACCTGTATTTTCATTGGGATGCTGAAGGGAAAGAGCAGAACTAAGCCCAGCAGAGACTCAGAGTGGATTCCGGTGCCTCCCCTCCCCCCACGGCCCCTCCTCTCGCCCGGACGGCGCCTTTCCACGCTGAGCTCACACATGCCACTTTCTCTCGCTCGCTCGAAGGCAGCACAGACATCGTGAGGGCAGACCCTCGAATGTCTAGCTGCTCCCTCCCCCAGCGGGCTCTGGGAATGGTCGTCTCCCGATGAGCCTGCTGTGTCTGGCGCGGGAGGGTGCGAGGGACCCAGGGGTAACGCAAGCGCACGGAGCCCCGGAGCCCGATTACCTCGCTGGGCTGGTCGCTTGCCCGGCCTGGACCCTCTGCTTCCATTAATGGGATCTGGCACAGGTTCAAATTTCAAAGAAGCCAGTTTGCACTTTTGGCTCATTGTGAGTGTTCAGGTAACTAAAACCCCAGTCTGATTTTTTTCCTTTTCGAATGTGTAGAATAAAATTTGTTTTCATAATAGACATTTTACATGAAACCTATATTCGGTCCAATTATGTACTTGTTCATTGTAGTTCTTAAAACTTAATGGAGAACGTCACTTTTCCTCATTGATTTCAACCTTTCCATTCTGTGTCACCACTGGCTTTTCCCTTACTTTCTTGTGTTATAAATTCTCCTTGGCAACAGGACAAACCTCTGTGTTAAGAGTTGGCTGCCTCGGGCCCGTGGGCAAAATACAGCCCAGCACCTGTATTTTAAAATATAATTTGTTGGAATCCAGCCCTTTCCATTTACCTATGTATTTCCTGCAGCCAGTGTTCTGACAAAATGGCAGAGTTGAGCAGTTGCCATGGAGACAGCATGACCCTCAAAGCCTGAAATATTTGCTATCTGGCTCTTGATGGAAAATGTTTGCCAACCTTGCTCTCTTAAAGTAGCTAATGTTCTGTGTGTCTTCTCTGTGTATTATGTTCCTGGGAAACTTGATTGGACTTATTGTATCTCTCGTGGCTATGTATCTGAATTAATTTAATAAACAGTCTTGGACTCTCTGTATTGGACTCTCTCAGTCCAGCAGTTCTGAAGGCTGGGTTCTCTCTACCGCACTCCTACCGGAGATGGAGACTCCACGTCACCCTGCTGAGTGCTCACTCTGTAAGACGAGATGACCCCGGGATGACTAAGGCATGAGCAGGCTTCTTTCATTATCTTTAGTCTGCCCAGACGTTTATGGGAACCACTGATCTGTGGCAGCAGATACGCGCAGTGGCAGAAAGTCACGATGATGTCTCACAGTCCTACGGGAAGTGTTCGTCATCTCGGAGTTTCACGGCCTCCGGTGCAAAAGGGATTGTTATTCCCATCCCGCAGGCAAGAGACTGAAGTTCAGAGAGGCTGGGGTTTATCTAGGATCGCCCAGCTTGTGCAGAAGAGGGAGAGTTCAATCTGGGGTCAGCTGACAAGTCTGGGCCTCTCGCCACGGCATACGCTCGGCTCAAGTTCAGTGGGACGGGGGAAGTCTGGTGATGATCATGTTCACCTCACGTGGTTTTTATGAGGATCCGATTAGATACTTACATGGAGATAAGTTTTAAACCACTTCAGGTCATAAATGAATTGTTGGCAAGACCCACGTTTTTCCAGGCCTTACTTGTCTGTGCACATAAATAAAATTACGTCAACAATAATGATCCAAGTTCTGTAGACTTTTGTCCCCAGGCTGCTTACACAGAGTCCTGGCCCCATAGAAAGTGTTCTTCCAGGATTTCAAGGGGGTCCCCTCGGATTCTGGGAATTCAGACGAGCACAGCAACAAGCCCACTTGCACGCCATCTGCTGTGGCTCTGCTCAGCTCCGTGGGCTGCCATGCAGCTGGGCTGCTGGTGCCCAGTGGTAAGCAGGGAACAGCGCCTACCTCTCATTGTGTCTGCATTGCCCTCTGTTTGAATTGTAGATGAATGCAGGTTTGCTTGTGCCCCAGGTCACTAAAGATTCCCTTGTGAAAACAGCCTATTCTCTCCAGACACCAGCCAGGCCGGGACCAGTCTGGGAGACAGACTGCATGCTGGGCTCTTGGTTCCCCATTCTCAGATCCCAGGAACCTCTGTGTTAACCCCTTCAGCATAGGCCCCCCATCCCTCCTGCAGGTGGGACATGCAAATGAGGAGGCTCCGCACATATCGGACAGGCCCAGAGCAGGTTGAAGTCCCTGGAGGTTCAGCTGGGACTTCTGTTATGCTGGTTATTTATTTTTACCCCTAGTGCAATAAAGTGCTGTGGTCACCGAGAAACCAGAGACAACTCCGCAAAGGAGATGTCATTTGAAATGGGTTTTAAAAGTCAGAAATAATTGACAGGAGAAGTTGGAATAAACAGTAGTCTGGGGCAAAGGTAGTCGCATGAAACACTAGTGCATAGAATAGCTTTGGTTTGCTTTAAATGTCAAGTTTATGGAGAAAAGTAATAGGAGATAAATGTGGAAAGGTTGTGGAAAATTCTGAGGGTGGGGAGGGGCAGGAGAATGAATCTTAAACATGTGTAAGAACTTGGACTTTATTTGGTGGACCATAGTGAGCCACTGGGTGTGATTTAGGAGGGAAGGAGCAGCCATACTTTAGCATGAGAACAGCAGCAGCGTAGGTGACGGGTGGGGGGTTGGGGTGAGGGCTGTGGTAGTACCGAGGCAAAGTAGGGCAGTCAACCCTACCAACACACCAACTGCATGACCGTCTGTGTGCATGTCACAACATGTGTTCTGCAAGAAGCTAGGAACAGAGTATGCACTGTATGAGTCCATTCGTTTAAAGTCCAAGAACCCGCAGAAGAAATTTAGGTGGTGATTTCGTGGGCATATACATAAAGTCACTGAGCTGTCATTCCAAGACATGAGTACTTTACTATATGTAACTAACTTAATACATAATACATATATATGCTGTACAATAAATAATATATAACAATATTATAATATAATAACATAATAATAAATAGCTTACATGTAAATAACTTAAACCTGAGGTTTTTTTAAAAAAAAGTATTTTTCTTTCAAAAAGTATTTGAGAATGAACTAGATGACCAACATGGAGTGAGGAATTTTAATGTATAAAAGAAACGATAAGATTAATTTGTTCCACAAGCATCTTCTAATATTTAGCATGCGCCAGGACACCCCCTAGGAGCTAGGCATGCAGAAGTAACTAACATTGCCTGTCCTCCCAAAGAGGAACAGAACGGAGTTGACAAGTTGAGACTGCTAACTACTTGCTTTTCGGGTCTTCTACCTCAACTTTTGCTCCTTCCAGATGACAGGCCCGGTGAATACTTCGGTGACCTCGCAGTCAGGAATGTGAGGTCCGGGTTCAGACCGCCTAGATTCAGACCCTGACAATGTCATGCGCTGGCTGTGTAGTCTCTGTCATTTCATCTCTCTTGGCCTGAATTCCCTCATCCCTAAGATGAGACCAATACCCATTACTTCACAGGGCTGGCTGTGAGGATTACATGAGTCGTTCATGTGAAGGAGTTAGAAGTCTTAGATGTCATCATCATTTTATTGACATCAGCAACAAGCTGGCCATTTGAATGCTATTTATGAAAAGGAAACCAGAGAGCTGCATTTTACTACCTATTTTTTTTTTAAAAATCCTCACACAAGGACTTTTTTTTTTCATTGCTTTTAGAGAGAGAGGAAGGGGCAGAGAGAACTATCGAAGGGTGAGAGCAAGGGAGACAGAAGCATCAGTCAGTTGCCTCCCATATGCACCTGGACGGGAGATTGGCACCCGGACCAGAACTGAATACCTCCAGACCCAGACAGGGGATCGAACCTGCAACCTAGACTGTGCTCTGACTGGGAATCAAACCTGCAACCTTTTGATTACAGGCAACACTCCAACCAACGGAGCCACACTGGCCAGGGCTTACTACCTACTTCTCAACACAATAGTGAAGAGAACAGGGCAAGGGAATGAAATGTTAGCTTGGGCTTGGCCATGAAATGGGGTCATTGCTTGGTTCCTCAGCCCCAAAGGCTAACCTAGAGAAAAAGAAGTGCAGCATTTCAGAAAGAGTCAGGACAATGTGGACAGAAGAACATTTGCATAAAATTGTCTGAGTGCTTTACAGTTAGATGAGAAGCCAGGATAGTTTAATCCAGGAGTTCCAAGTGAAAGTATATAAATATATGGGAATTAGTGGGAAATGAAGTCCCTAGAGGCTGCTATCCTGAGCTACTTTATACCTGTATTAATTAGCTAATTCAATTTGCATGTAGACTTGAGTGCAAATAGTTAGCCTGAAAATTTGTACTAGTTTGCTCAGACTGCCATAACAGCAGGCCATAGACTGGGTGGCTGAAACAATAGGAATTTATTTTCACCCAGATCAAGGTGTCAGCTGACCCGCAAGGGCCCTCCTCCGTATACACTGCCAATTCTTTGGTACCTCCTCACAGGACGGAGAGAAATATGTCTCCTCTGGTAAGGGCACTAGTCCCAGCAGAGGGCCCCACCCTCATGCCCTCACCAAACCTAATTTTCTGCCAAAGGCCCCGACTCCAAACACCATCCCATCAGGAAGTGGACCTCCAACATCCGGATCTGGGGGACAAAATTCAGCTCATCGCACTGGAGAGGGTACACAACTTAAAAGCAAAACCAGTCAGGCGAGCAGAATCTCCCCCCTGGCACTTAGCCGTGCGCCAGCTCTTCCATCAGAAATGGGTGATTACTAAAGCGGCAGGAATGGTGTCATCTTGAAACAAGCTTAAGGGTGAGAAAGGATTGCTTAAACATTCAGGCAGAGCTCTGGGTAGGGACACAAAGAACTGGGCGATACCTCTTCCTCAGCCGCCGCTGTTAATGCTGCTCTTGTCTCCCCCGGGCCAAAGAGGTATTGAGGGTTGGAGGGCGGGGCTAGAGGGAAAGCAGGAGAAAAAGAGAAATGAGGGAGGAGAAATGGACAGTTAGCTCTCTAGACTGAGAAAGCAGAAATAGATGCCAACAAACCACAGAAAGGAGAACCTCACGGCCCTGGCCCTACCCACGCGCTGCTCTTAGGCACAGGTGGGTCTTTGATGCCCCAGACCAGACAGCTTCTGAAGGAAGCCGCTGACTGACAGGGAGGAAGACTGCCAGCCTGCTGGAGGAGCCCTCAGACACCAGCAGAGGCAGTGAGCTCCATAGCACGGAGGTGAAACTTCGCTGTCTCTCTGGTGCAGAAGCAGAAAATAGGTTCTGTCCGCTGTGTGTGGGAACAGGTTTGTCAGCTTCTGCTTAGAGTAAGGTGGAAGTTCAGTCCAGGAAAGGGAGGGTGAGAAAGTACTAAAGAGGAACTGAAGAACGAGGAAGAGCTAGACCTTTTGAAAGGGATGCTCTGGGCTGCCCAGGAAGGCTGCCTCAGATCTTCATCAAAAGAATTATTAACTCTACCCTGGCTGGGGCAGCTCAGTGGATTGAGCGCCAGCCTGCAAACCAAAGGGTCGCCAGTTCAATTCCCAGCCAGCACACATGCCTGGGCTGTGTGCCAGGTCCCCAGTAGGGGGCGTGCAAGAGGCAACCACACATCGATGCTTCTCTGCCTCTCTTCCTCCCTTCCCATCTCTAAAAATAAAAACAATCTTTAACAAAAAAGAGTTATTAACTCATATTCTTCTCATTGTTGGACTGTAGCAAATCCCTCACTCAGCCTTCATCCAAATGCGTGTAAGTCTTGAGAGACGGCCAAGGGGGAGAGGAAGGAGGTGGAAGGTTAAAGACGTGAGATGTGACAGGTGCTGTGAGGCAAATGGAAGAGACAGGGGATGTTGTGACTGAATGAACCAGTAGCCTAGTACCAGGCGACAGACAGCCTTTGTCCTGAACTGCCACATCCCGCTGTGGCTTCTAGGCTGCTTCCTGTGCTGTTCACCAAGAAAAAAAAAAACAAAACACCTAGATTAACCTCACTTCCTTTTCTGCTATGCTTCGCAGGCTGGTAAATCAAGGGACAGCTATACAGAGCATGCAGGATCTGCAGGGAGGCACTTAAACAGTAAGGGACAACATGGCAACTATGTGTCTCTGGGCCTGACTAAGTGACCATACATACTCAAAGCATGGTGACTGAGGCG